AGGGTGTAGTCTTAGACATAAGAATATAGATAAAAGATACAAATTACACGTCGAAAAGGAGAAGAAAATCAACGGTAAAAGGAACTCGTCAGTTTTAAATCTGACCTCTGAGTCTTAACAAGAGCCTCATGATCCTAGTCTAATCGATGGCAAACATAGCGCTTTTTATGAGTAACGTACTCTATCCCTGGCCACCCTCCCCACTACATTTGGGCCAGACTCTTAGTCTTTAGTGATACTTGACATATATAGTGTTGTCTACCGAAAAATAAAGTAGAATCAAACGGTCTTAAAAGTCGTGCTTTTAGTAACACTTGTTCCCCTTGAAGCCACCCTTCTCCCACATCTGATGTTTTAAATGGGCACTCAATCATAGTCGCAGTCATGGATTACATGTATACGGGAGATTCAGCTTGTGTTCAGCCGAGGCCATTTATTTATTCTTCATACTTGCACCCTTCCCGTGTGCTTTATTTCATCGCCACTTCTCGCACAGGTCGTGGGCGTATCCCTAATAACTAACAACGCACTAAATCTCTGTCTTTGTCCCGAGGATTATAGGCTGGCTTTGACTCCGTGATGTGAATATTTTGATGACTTTAAAGATGAAAAAGGGTTTCATAGGAATTTGTGAGGGCGGTTTATTTATAATTTTAATTAATCATTCCGCCAGGCATTGTGTCTAATCAAAACTTTTGAATCGTTTCACTTGTCAGAGTAACTTTATGTTACGACCGGGAAAACATAAGAGTTCTTGAACTAGATATGTATGAATTCCGTGAGCTAGACTTCTAAGTGCAATCAAACGTTAGAGTTGAGCAACAGTTTTTGTTTGTAGGATGGTTCCAATTGGCTAGTTTTTGTCTGTATTGCCTTTTATACTGAAGACAAAAAGTTATAGAGCAATTCGTTCTCTTGGTACAGTGCTGTTTGTTTAGTGTTAGAGTCTGAGTTTAAAATTCGTCTGTTACCTCTATGACCAAAATGAAATTCGTGTTAACAAATTGTCATTGCGTTGAACAAGGTCAGGTTTGATTGATCTTAAGGTCTCCTAAGGCATAACAATCACTAATGAGTCTTTGCTGTTTGATCAGTGCAAGGATAAACTCTGAAAAAATATAATCTAAGGTGCGCTTATTGATTTGAAATCAGGGGCCCATTTTCGGGATTTTCGGTTCTTTTATAAATCAAAACTTATTGATTATTCTATTTTTAATGCACACAAACTTATTTTTATTTGAATTCCAAGGATTTACGCTCTCACAGATGAATCCACGATCCTTTTGTTTGAAATCATTCCTGATGAAAGGATGGTCAAATAGGTCTAATTGCCTCTCATTCTGCTGTTCCAATAACTAAAGGTTATTTAGTTTGCTGACTTCCGATTGCCAACTCATTACAGTAATGAATTTCTATAGGTGTAGCCTTACAAAGGAACAAAAATGACGAAAATGTTGAATAATCTTGACGAAAGACGCTGCGCTTAAACAGAAAATATACTGATGTCGAGATGCTCTTATGCGGGGAAAGAGGTGCACACAGTACAGTGGCGGAGTAACTCGCGCACCAACAAACAACAAGTAAAAGTTGGTAAAGTCAACTGAACGAACCAAGTCACTGGAGCTCATCTTAATCAAAGAATTAATGTCTCCTCAGTCTCCTTTATAACAAGTTTCTTTTTTACTGACACTGTCGACTTATCTAAGAATAACCAGACTTTAGTTTATTTACTGACGTCAACACCATACTAAGCTGGAACGTTGTCGTTTAGTCATGCCTCCGTATATTAAAAAGGTTATAGGACGAAACCTTAGTTACAGACGATGTTCAAAGTGCATCAAGCTCAAACAGGTCAATTCAGTTGGGTCCACGATGCAGCCGAACTCTGAATTTCAGTCTCAGAGAGCTGTTTGACTCATCGGAAAGGCTTTTTACAAAAAGCAATTAAAACAAAGTGAGTACCAGCCAAAATCCTTGTATTATAGGGAGTCTACTATGTTTGTATTTGGATTCGCCAACTGTTAGCAGGGTCACCGCAACAGCGTGAAGTAATTAACGGCGCGCCGTGAAGATTCCCTCACCCCTAACATGAACTACAGACCACGCCATCGGGATCTACCTTCACTCTTACAATCTTTCCTAACAGCAGTGTGAGTTTCCTCCCAATTGAAAAGAAAAGATGATGGAGACATAGGACGACGGCTTAACGTCACCGCCCTTTGACGCGACAACTTGAACTGCGACATAATACAGACCACAGATTAAAAGTTCTGATGTCTCAATGAAGGAAGAGGGCTTAAAGGCTAATTTCTATCATGGAGCCTGATTTAGTAGACTCCTAGGAAAGACGGGATCACATCTTCCCCTCCCCTTCCCCTCCTCTCCCCTCCCCTCCCCTTTGACGCCCCCCACATTGGATATGGAATCTTGTCCACGAAGGTGAAGATAAAGTGCGAAAATAAAATCCTTCCGTCAGTGAACACAAGAAGGAATTTTAAACTTAACAATTGCAGATGACCTTGAGAGAAAAGAACTGCTTGCAAAAAAGGCCGCATGTTAAGCGTAAGCGTTGGGTCGAGGCCAGTTTAAGAGGTCAAAAACTAAGACAAAAATAAATGTTAAGGGGGCTGAATTTTTCTCTTCTGACCCATCAATGACTGGAACAAAACAGACCTTCATGATATGGTCTCGAGTTATTTACGGCCGTATCTGAGATTTTACGATAATGGATATCGGCTGGCCTTTTGACGAGAATTATTCCAAAGTACCAAGAATTAAGCGGACGGGTCCTGTCCTGGAGAACTTGAAAACTGGAATTGCAAAGAAGTAGTGTACAGTAGTCGGGCGGCCGGCCCGATTTGTAACAAATGCCAGCTTTTGGATACCATTATTGTGAGTATAAAAGAGCTGTTAAAGAAGGCTGTATTGAAACGCTCAGTATCACAACTGCAGAAAGCAAACTTGCGATAATGTTAAAAAAACGTTCTTGACAGGTAATGGGATCAGTTGCAACTTGGTATCTTCGATCGTTTGACACCTTCAGTTAGCCGGGGAGCAAGTAGCTATGATAATAATATAATATGACAAAGAAAAAAAATGAGAAAACGTATACAAAATTGGCTATGTATGTTTGCAACCTTAGCTAATCTTGTTCAGTTAACATCACGCTAGCACAGACAGTTAAACAAAAATGTTAACTTCTGACTAACTCTGTAAAGAAGCTTTTTACTCAAGTTAAAAATTTTTCTATTACCTTACCTAGCAGATGATCAGTTAAGCTTTGGAATCTATGAACGTATAATGAATAAAACAAACCACAAATGAACCTTAATGAGTTTAGTGTTTTCCAGCTGGGAAGTTAATTTCTCAAATTAACTAAGAAGCTCACCCGGCGGGCTGCTCTATCAGTCAAGTCGTGAGAAATGGGTATCAATTCTGACCCCGTGTAAAACCCGCACGGAAGTCTTGGCAATCTTTCTCAAGTTAAACTTGTAAAAAACAATCCGCAAGAGCAGACATTTAAGAAGAAGATGCTTCTGAAAAGCTCCGATTTAAATTGTCAACACGAATTTACTTTTAAGTCCAGTGGACTCGAGGAAAGCTGGCAACGCCTCCATGGTAAACCCCAACGTAGACTTGGCGACCTTTTGAAGAAAAACTCTCTGGGTGCCGAAATTAAATCAATAAGTGATTGTATAGAATATGTACTGATCCAATATTGCCGAGAAAGGCAGTTTATTATGTTCAAACAAATTCTCTTAGAAAGTTCACAAATCTTATTTCTTGTGGTATTAGTTTATTCGCCTCAGGGGCAAAATTAATTTCTTTACATTGTTTATTTCTGGAAGCTGTTTGTTGTTATGTGTCAAAATTCGGCATTTATGAATCAACAAAGTAGTCGTTTTAGTTACAAAACAAATTGTTGTTTTTCGAAGGGAATATTTAATGATGTGAAATAAGCGATACTATTTAATTTAGTCTTCTGAATTATTCTAGTAAGCAATTTAACCTGTTTAAGCCCTAGGGACAAAAAAAATGGAAATCACTGAAAAACTAAGTTCCCTTTTGATTCTGCGGACGAAATACTGTTATCCGACAATTCAAATTAAATGTCTTTGCCAGCCATTTCGCCGTATGCTATATTTGTTTCTGTTTGATCTAGGGGCCGAAGTGTCATTGCGAGGGTGTTCTTTCGAGATGCTAAGAGCCTCTGCGTTTTCTAGATGTTCATAAAACGCCCTTTATTTCCCCACAAACAGAATATCTTTGTTTGTTGATGCTCAAAGACTGTAATTAAATTATTGAAAGAAAAGCGTTGGTAACTATAAGGCAATGGCATCTTGAAAATAGACATCGAAAACGCACAAGAGAAATAGCAAACAAACTTTGCCTTACTACTGTACTTTGGTTTCTTCTCCTTTGTCATGGCTATGTTAGACGATTATTTTCTAAAAACATACATCAGACAGTTGATTTTCACGGCTGACGGACTGCATAGGTATGTAATTTATTCAAGTTTTTGAGTCAGTCGGCAGATTTCTTATATTACGAAGATATCTTAGCTTTTAGTGAACGCATTTTAATATTTCGCATTACAAGCTTTTCATACATAAACTTTCTAAAGCGATTTTAGCTGTCATCAAGTCAAGTTATTTCGTATGCTTTGCATTTTTCAGTATTCACGTTTTCATTTGCTCAACTTCCAGTCATTTCGCAATTCATAAGGCAATTTATGCATTTGACACCTGGTGCCGCCTTTTGCAAACCCACTCAGAACAAAACAAATGGAGTTAATTGTGCCACTAAACACTGCCACTATTGGCTCTCATCACGTGCTTTAGCATACTAATCGCACATACATTACGGCAGAGGCGACACACGCCAGTCAATCGGTAAGCCGGCTAGGTTCTGCTCACTTCAGCTCCTGTGACGTCCTCAGATCTTTGGTCGACTTCATTTAGTAGACTTGGGAACTAGAACTCCAAGTGACTTCAGCGAATATGCTTCTCAACGCTCTTGTGATGTTGCTCCTTTTGGGCCTTACTAAGGGTAAGCTATTTTTACGGCCTTTACGCTCTTTGCTTTTGATCATTTCAGAAATTTTTGTATGTTCTTTGTTGCTCGAGTTTTCAATGTAAGGCATGTCAGTGAACGTTTTGCTAAATGAGTGCAAGCGAAATTATTGCGAAGGCAACTCTTTTCTCCAGAAAGGTTGAAACCTCACGTACCTTGTTTTAACTCGGGTTAATTAAATGATTTTGATAATCAGCCAATCATAAAAAAATGCCTTCGGAGCCCTTGTAAACTTTTTAGGCCTGTCTTTTGCAATTTTACGCTGCAAACATTGATTCAGCGCGCGCTGCATGGTTTGCTAATACAGAAACTACCAGCAACTTTGTTCGCTATGCACCATGTGCTTGATAATTCATCGGTATTCAAAGCCTTTGTTTTATTCAGAAAATGAGACAAGCCTCACTCGACTTTCGTGTTCAAAGAGAATTATTCTCTTGAAGAACATAGTTTTTCACTTAGTAAAAACCGTTATTAACTGATATTCCGTAAAATACGATTTAAAATGCTTCTGATCGAGGTGCAATACTGGAAACATCGAGAGGTGAATATTACGGACACGGGCCAATGCACAAACAAGGCTTTTGCATACATTAAACAGCTCGATATAGGTAGACTTTATGAGCAATAGATTATTGAGTGAATGTTTATTTTTACCAACTTTTAACCTCGGTGACATTTTTGTTGATCAATCTATTGAATAGAATGCGCACTATGCCTAAAAATTCCTTTTAATTCTCATTTTGGCTGATATAGCTGTAAAGTGTATACCATTGGGTGTGGTGTAATTAAACCTTTAGAAATCAAAGTTGAGTTTCGCTCAACCTTTCAATTCGATAAATATTCATCAGTAGTCATTTGGCAGCAAGCTGAAATGTTTTCATAAATGATTTAAATGAAATAGTTTGCCGCTTTGTTTGAAAATATTTGTGGTCACATTAGTAGCGTCTAGCACTTGTCGGTTTACGGAATGGTTTTCCAGAACTTCCAAAAGGGCTGTGAAACAAAAATGGCCGTAAGATCTGCTTCGAAGCACAGTGGACTTGAAAAGCCTTGATTGGTAAAAATTATTTTAAAACGCCCTCACAGCAGCTGAGATTTTGAGCTATGGAACACCCCGCTAAGATCTTTTTGTGTTTACTTGAGGGTATGATAGCAGTGGACATATCGATGTTCATGGCGACAAACATACGAAATCGAAGAAAATGATCAGATAAAAAATCAGATGCATCTATGCATGGTTTGTCATATCGAAATATTGCATTTATTAAATTTCTTCTTTGTGGATCAAAAGCCATTTATTACCTTAAGGCAAATCCGATAAAAAGGAAACAACAGCTCCCTGACTGTACTGATTGCAACAAGCACCAAGTATACCAGCAGCTTCCAAATATTCTGCTCAAAAAAAGCGTGCTCTGGATTTAATTCAACACCTAGCCGTGACACAGTTTGTAAAGAACGTCAATAGATTGCCATAGGCGGGTCTTACGCCATTGTAACAGATGTCTTTGAAAAAACCGCGCAGGTTTTTATCTTGGAACAATCTTTAAGTAAATTGAGCTCATAAAAGGCACAGTAAAGCTTTCTAGATTAAGAAAGACAAATATCTCAATTTTCTTTGTCGGCTGCCTGATATTATCAAGATATTTATAATCAAATAAATTGTCTGTGAGTTTGTTTGTAGTCTGAAAACCGCGCTGTTATATTGGAATAGAATGAAACTGCTACAGAATTGATACGCTGTGATTGGCTGCTCACAACTGGCTGCCTCGGCAATGCAGTGAGGTCCGAACCAAAAACGTTGCAAACAGAAAGAAGAGGCAAAACGATTTACTCAGGAAAAAATGATTGACAACTAAATCTTTAGCTGAAAGACTGACTAAATAGTTGCAGCATTCTAATTAGCAGTATAAATGAAGGGACAAGAATATTTCAAAATGTCCTTTGTGGAAACAAATTAGAATGCCTTTTATGAGCTACGAAGGTTGACTCCTGTTTAAATTCACCCTCAATAGAAGGCACAATGTTTAATACTTGCGACCGTGTGAACAGTTTAGCTGTATTTATGTGCACGGGAAAGTAGTTAGTCACAGCCCCACCTCCTGAACGAGGGAGACCGGGAATGACTTTCGGGTGACACTAGACAAATTCTCGTCATTTTTCCATTTTTTGTTTTGCCTTTCATGTGTTTAGGGCCAATTTCAAGGCGGCGGAACGATTAATCTTTTTTAACAAATGAGTTGTGGAAATACAGAGAAAAGCAAGTTAAGAATACATTCAGTAAGATTAAAAACATTAGACCCCTTATTATAATTGATTTTTGACTCCTTGGTCTTTTCATAGCCAGAGATACGGTTTACGTTGTTAATTCCCACTAAGAGAGCAGCTGAACTTTATGTTTGATTTCTAACAAACTATATTGTTCCAATGGTAGATGAAGTTCTTAAATTTCCACTTGTTCATTTGTTCCGTTTTCAATTTACCATTTTGGTCTATACCCTCCATCTTGTTTGACCTCCTTTAAGTCTATAATCCACGTTACTGATGAGGGTATGGAGAAAGGAATCATTAACTGAAAAAAGAATTCAAAACTGACATTCCGTGAACTTACAATTCATTTTGCTCCCAAGTAACAAATTGAAAGAGAACTTTTGACTCTTCTGTGACGGTTTTTCCCATTTTCACCGTCGAAGCCTTCCTCTGAATCTGAATTATCATTAATTTACTTCAAGCATTAAAATTAACTTAGAAGCGATTAAATTAACCCTGTAGATGTATGAAAGTACTCCAGCAAGCTGAGGATCCATTTTGTATCATTTATTTCTCAAGTTATAAGGCTGATCGATAACATTTTGGAGCATTTTATTTTTGTTTTAGCTCAAAATGCAACTGAACCTGCCGTCAATGCTACAGAGCCTGCTACTACAGAGGCTGCCACACAACCCTCCACAGGGTCTGTTAATGCAACAGAGGGTGCCACTACAGAACCACCCCCAGACAGTAAGTAAATTTATATCTTTGTCTTTTTTTTCAACTTAAGCAGTTGAAGAATGGAACGCCCTGAATGAAAAGTGCGAAATCGACTAGGGCTTTATTAACCCCATACGAAGCTGTATTCATTTCAGCTAATCAAACCCAAAAGAGAACAGGTTCAAACGAATCCAATGATAAATGAACAAAACCGTGATTGTCTGAAAACTTCCAACAATAAACTCAAAGCTGTATTCATTTAAGCTAATTAAGCTTAAAAGAGAACTGGTCCAAACGAATCCAGTGATAAATGAACAAAGCCGTGATTGTCTGAAAACGTCCAATAATACTCACTGAATGGCTACAAAACAGGAGAATTTGAGGGTTTCGAACGATGAGAAAAACTTCGAATTGAAGTAAATCAGAAAACGCGGTCAAGGGTGGGCGTACACTAAAATGTTATACGGAATTGAAAAATTCTTAGACTTAGCTGCGTACCAGAAACTCCGATTATTTATACAACTGCAATTTCCAGACATAAAACCTTTAATTTCTCTAGCATATCTCATAATTGACTGCTTGAAAGGCCCATTCTTCATAGCACTTAGGCCAACTGACGAATCGCGACTTGACACTGGCCAAGTGTGATCGAACAAAAAATTTCAGTAGTGTTCCTGACTAAGTCGATAAAGCAAATTTGCCACATTCACTAAGAGTGACAGGGAGATGTGTCATGGCTTTCTAGTTCATTTTGCTTATATTTTCATTAAATTAAAACGTCCTATTTCGCAACGGAACTTGCGTCTGAGTGACGAAATTACTGATAAATTACAAAACTGCACAGTTTCATGTGATAAAGCATTGTATCAAACCTTACATGCATTACATTTTATTTGGGTTGTTTTCCTACTCAGCCAGTGTCTGCGCTCACATTGTGGGTGGCTCCTCCTAAAGTTGTTTTACATTTAAGAATGTTTCATAGGCCTCGCTTGTCTGGCGATTGTTTTGTTATCTACGTTCAAATTTACGACATTTAACAAATATTGCTTGTGATTTAGCTTGTTTTCTGTCAATTATTATTGACACAAATTATAAGGAAATAACCGGGGTTTTCAAAATTACTGTATTTGTTTTGTGTAAAATGTAACGTTCACAATTTGGAGAGGGACTGGGTACGCTGGATGACAGAAACTTTTCACGCGCGGTTTCCGGTTCCTGTCAAGTTTTAAAAGTTCCGCCCACCCCCAACCCCAGATAACTGACTGTATTTTGATTCGGTACTATTGACAGGTTTGTCAGTGAAGTGTACAACCGACGGAATGATGGTAACATTGGACATTAGATATCATCCCAATATTGCTGTGGACAAAGTCACACTGAGTGATGCCAACTGCAAACTGGCCGATTTGGGAGACTTAAACGCCACACACATCTCGTTGAATGCACCTCTTGATTCATGCATGACTAACCATACTACGGATGGTGATAACATCATTTATCAGAACCGCCTTGTAACCGAGACCCGTGAATCTGCCGGAGCTGCTATTATTTCCAGAGAATTTCAGGCCGAATTCCCGTTCAAGTGTACCTACCCTCGCTCAGCCATTGTGTCCGTGGCCAGCTTTTCTCCACGAGAAAAAGTCATCTACACTAGGACAGGTTTTTATCCCCTTTTATCTCTGCATTGTTAAAAATCGTTTACTCCTAAACTTGCCCATAAGTTATTGGAAAGGAACTCGGTACTAAGCAAAATTACTGCAAAAGAGGATCCATTGAGATGACTATACTGAATAGGATTTTATCCACGTACCTAAAAATTGAAACTACACACTAAGTAGATTAATAGTATATAGAGAGGTACACTGCCAAAGAGCTTTCATATGAATACTGCTCACAGTTTGAAGGGTTAAATTTGCTTCACTTCGCTTTTTGGACTGAACAAAAAGAACAGAGTTCCTCTTGACTTAGATCTGAACTTTTTGAACTTTATGCTTTTACCAACGGATGGCAAATGAAACACTTCCACAATATAGTTTCATTTAAATGGGCATAGTCAGTATTGAATCAACAAAAGTAAGTACTAGTAAGTACTACCCTGTACAGCAAAATTAAAACACAAGAAAAGGACAGGGTTTTTTTGTGATCAGAACTTGACACAATTACACCAGAGGCACGGTTATAGACAGTTATAGCGCTGGACTTGTGATCCGGAGACCTCGAGTTCAAGTCCTGCCCCCCTTATATAGCTGGCTTTGCTCTCGGTAGTTCAACTCCTGGACTACCAGTAATTATGGTTACCCTAATACAGTCGACTTTAAGACGACATTGAAAGTTTCTGAGTTTTTTTTTTCTCATTTACAGCTGAGTATGGTAACTTTACATTCACCATGGATATGTACGAGACGGATGCGTATGAGACCCCTTACGCCGACTACCCTGTTAGAGTGGACCTTAATGAGCCTATGTACTTGGAAGTCCAAGTCAAGTCAAATGATTCTATGTTGGTGTTGATTCCTGTAAAATGCTGGGGTACCACCGAACCCGAACCGGACGATGACAAGTCTTATGCATTCATCGATAACGGGTAAAGGTCATCTTCTTATTCCGAGGTCGACTTTATAAATTTTCATTTATAGACTCCATCTTTGTAATGCAATGGATGGAAAGGGCGGACATGAATTGAAACTTGAAAAAGTTAAGCCAGCTCAGTGTTTCAATTTTTAACGATATGCCTGGAAAAATTGTTTTGGTAAGTGCTCCTGGGTGAAATTTCAGTGTTAAATATCTTCATAACTCCAGAGCAGCATTTTGAGTATGGGCCAAGATTTGTTTTTGACTGACTGAATAATACGTATTAAGTTTGAGAGAATTGTTTTATTGTTTTGGAAATAGCTTTGAATTAAGCTGAAACATCAACATTTGTTTCTCGTTAGATTTCTTGTGCTGATCATATTAAGTGGAGTTGTTTTTATCCTATATTTTCAATGACTATTTTAAAACAATTATTCCACTCGTGCGCGTTGGATATGAGATGGCGGGTAGCCAGCGAGGTGCGTATCGCCGAGTTGTCTATAATCACCTCATATCTAACAAACGCGAGTGGAATAATTGTGTTATTAATAACATCCACAAAATATCGAGAATTCTTTCCGATTTTCAGCTTGTTTTTAATTTTGAGCAGACGCGTACAGTTAATATATAAGGAGAGCATTGTATAATGGCGCATATACCATGATGGCTAAGCCAATCAGAACTCAATAATTGCATTATCCAATGATTCAGGTTTTAATAATATGTGATATACTTGGCCTTGCTATTGTAGTTGCGGAAAAGATGAAACTCTGGACTTTGACTACGAACTGAGCGCTGTGCAGAGATTCCAACTGGACGCCTTCCGTTTCCTTGGGGAAAGTGCTGATGCCGTAGTTTATCTGCACTGTAGCGTTGAGGCCTGCCGCAGCGCTGACAATGATTCGCGTTGTGCAGAGGGATGCACTGAAAACGCTAGAAGGAAGAGGCGTGGCGCACAATTTGATGCTATAACCGAAGAAACCGTCACCATTGGACCCGTTAGACTCGAACGCAAATCTGCAGCTACAAAGCGTGAGTAACTTGTCCCGGTTAGAGAGTGAAAAAGTCAAACTCGAACTTGTCATGCATTCCTTTATGACTCGCGGCCCACTCCTGCGGCACATAAATCCATAGCCTGCGCCGCAGAAAGTGCAGAAGAAACTAAACTCTGGTTGAGTTCGTCTGTGAAACAGCACCAGAATCCTTGTTCTGGGCCTCCATCTGTGTACCAGGATTTGAGCACGCTTCTTGATTGGCCTGTAAAAAAAGCTATCGTGGATTTGCCAATCAGGATGAAAGGAAATTCGTGACGCATTTCCGATAATTCGTTGAGTCCGTTGGGGGACCAGAACTAAGATACGCAGAGGTTACTAACCGAGGTTACATAACGTCTGCGACATCAGGCTATAAATCGGAGAGGAAAACATTTGATCTATAATGTTCACTACGGACCTAAAAATCGTTTAATATTGTCAATGAAAATATTCGTTTCTTTTTTTTCTCTAGAGCAAAAGTCTGCAAGTTCGCTGACCATTTTTGCCGCGGTCGCTGGTGTCCTGGCCGTCGTAGTGTTCGCTCTGGTAGTTGCCTTGGTGATCTTGTATAAACGTTACCGCAATCCTCAGACTGCTTCGCGGGTTGTATACACCAAAACCTCCAGTGACGACAACAAACAGCTTGTCTGAGGGGACTTGAACTGATGAGTTTATTTTGCTGCACCTTGCATAGATGTTGTTTCTGACATCGCTTCTTTGTGTTAGTTTTTAATGAAATCTTTGGGTCGGTTATTTAAACGGAGTTTAGCTAATGTTTAACTAAACTGCGCTCTAAGCTATCTACAGTACCTGCTATAATCCTATTTCCTGTTTGGTTTATCATAAACTGAGTTTCATGGACACAATAATGTACACTAGAAAAGCATTTAATTTCATAACAAAACAAAACAAAAACACTTTAAGACAATTCTAGAAGTTCAATGAGCCTTTAAACGCGGCCAAAGTTAGATTTCGATTAAATAACCGACCATTTGACTTTTTGATGATTTTTATAAGTTTTTTAAAAATGGTACGCAAGATGCTAGCAATTTATCTATCGATAGATGTAGGACATGCCCTTTTTTTCTCTTTCTTTTTTTTTTATCTTGACATCAATACTGTTAACAAAGACTGTTAACAAAGACTAAAATAAGGCAACTAATGGGAATAGTTTTTCTTTCATTTTTTCTCGGAAAGCAATAAGAATGAACGAGAGAAGTTATTAATAAACAGTGACCTTTGGCGCGACTTTTTTAAAAATGTAATCACGTTTTAAACCATCAAATGGGACAAATGTTAAAAAGCACGTATCTTCTTTTTGTTTTATTTTTAAGCATCTTTTTAATAAATAACAACTAACATTTAGCGAAGATCGAAAACAATGTTTAGAGTTTTTATAGGAATACGGTATGTTATTATTCAACTCGTTACTTATGTGTTAACTTCAAAGAGAGCTGAGGAATTCCGGAGAGCAACCTGAGACTGAAAAAGACCACTTCATTCGGTTTAAATTAAATTACAACATTCCTTTAAACTGAAAGGTTGAGCCTGATTTCCAAACCACTGGGTGTTTTTTAGCGATCACTCTTCTTCCAGCTTTTCTTAGTTTTTGATGTAATTCGACCGCTGCTTTTCGTGCCACTTGCAATGTCTTCTAATAAAACGGTTTAAACGTAGCGAATATTGTTCTTCATATCCAGACTTGATCCATTCTTGTTAAAACCCGACTTACTCACAAAGACCTTTGTATTGTTTCAACATTATAATGCAGACTATTTTTCTTCGTTCCTACAAATTAAAAGCTCAAGGTTTCATGCAACATGTAACATAAAATATTTACACACCCACACGACCAATTCTTGACTCATTCGTCTCACTTTTCCAGATATAAACCAAATGAATTCACCATTTTCACATAGACCATAATGCACCTTGCCAATGCGTCTTGCCACCCCACCCCCTCCGCTCAGGGATCCAGTTACAACTGAATTCGTTCCATACAATTTGTTGCCCCAAGGGAAACCTCAATAGAACGAACCAGGCTTACAAACACTGAAAATAGTAATTTTGCAGTTTTGTTATTTGTTTAACAATGGAGCACTTAGGAGATCTTAAGAACTCATTAAAACGTGTCCGTGCGTTCCAGATCGAATTGGAAGTTGGAAGCGTTGGTTTTTGAGGAGAGGGAAAAACCGGAGTACCCAGAGAAAAACCTCTCGTAGCAAAGAAGAGAACCAACAACAAACTCAACCCACATGGCGTCGACGCCGGGATTTGAACACAGGCCACATAAGTGGGAGGGAGGCGAGTGCTCTCACCACTGCACCCAGGGGCGGATCCAGGATTTTTTTAGGAGGGGGTGCACTCGTCTCTTGTTCTACTTCAACACCAATAAACCACATAGTTTTTTTTTTGCAGAATACCAGTTGTATTAGAAAACCGCAGGTCATCTCAGGGAGGGGGGGAGGTGCGCACCCCCTGCACCCTCCCCCTAGATCCGCCCCTGGCACCAACCTTGTTCCCCAACTCTTTTAGTACTGGAAGACCACATCCATTCCATTACGTTTCTTTCCATTACCTTCAAAAGAATTTCAGAGTTGATCACAACCCCATTCCGATGTTTAGTCTCATTACAGTCGCGACTACTGGTCAGCAGCAAGTAACCATCCTGACAACTCTCAATACTACAGATGGTTTTCACAGTGACGTCATCAAATTGTAAAGTCAGAATAGCGAGGTTTCAAGAATTGTCTTTTACACTAGGTTAAAGATAAACAAAAAGTAAATCTCTACACAAGTTTCTATTCCCGTAGCATGTCTAGCATGTTTCATTTCGAAAATACAGCAACCAAAATAGGAATGCTGTCTCGTTGAAAACGTCTCTCCTCTTGATTTTCAGCAGTATAACCATTTCAAGTATTAGAAGATATGTTTATGCACTCGTATGCTAGTTCTCGAGTGAAAAGAAAAAGCTTTAATAGAAAAAGTGAACTCCAGATGTTTTTGTTGATTTCCGGCGGCCATATTGGTGCACCAAAACGGTACACCAATATGGCATCTCCATACAAAGCTCTACAAAGGTGCGTGAAACGTTTCGGCAAATAACTCAGAAACTGTGGGCCACAAAGACCTAAGACTTGGATAAATTGTTTATATATCAGTCTTTTATAACATTCATTTTCTTGGCTTCTTCCACTGGACGGTTTCCAATTTTTTTTTTTGTTGCGTGACAGTGAGAACGATCTATAAGGGGAATGGGTACAAGCTTTCGGTGCAGCGACTTCTAGGATCGGTTGAGTTGGCAGGCGTTACTTATGATTGGTTAATGGTTGCCTTGAATACCATCGACCAATAATAACTAACGCTTGTCCACCTAAACGATCCCAGAAATCATTGCGACCAACACTTGTACCCATTCTCCCTACAGTTCCTAAGGTGGGCAATTGACATTGATATAGATGATTAAATTAGCTGCAAAAACCGTGGACGAAGATCCTGCTCGTTGTAAACGTTGGATCTCTAGAAAAGAGATCAAATCAGCCAAAATATAAAGAACCAAGAACAAGAAGTCCAAAGACTACTGCAAAGCTGATTCAAAACAACGCATATTGTTTTTTATAAAAATATTTCGGCTGGCCATACCAGCCTTCTTCAGGTTTACAGATGTTACTGTAAACCTGAAGAAGGCTGGTATGGCCAGCCGAAATATTGTTATAAAAAACAATATACGTTGTTTTGAATCAGCTTTGCAGTAGTCTTTGGACTTCTTGTTCTTGGTTATTGATATAGACGGCGTTTATCACTGTAAAATTCAATGACAGTACCGTCATTCTGTAGATACAGACAAGATTGAAATTTTGAAGATCGATGGACACAGCTTTTCGTACCCATGGATTTTAATAACAATACTAAACTAAGCAGAATACCCTGTGGATATATCCGCACTTCCCCTTTAAGCAATGTGCTCTAAGTATAATCACATCCCCAGGGATATGGAAATAGGGAAGGCACAATTCCCACTTCCTGTCCAAGTATTGTGTCCCATGTGGAAATCCCCAGGGATATGGAAATCGGGCAGGCACAATTCCCATGCCACTTCCTGTCTAAGTATTATGTCCCATGTAGATATCCCCAGGGATATGGAAAAAGGGCAGGCACTATTCCCACTTCATGTCTAAGTATTGTGTCTTATGTAGATATCCTCAGGGATATGGAAATAAGGAAGGCACAATTCCCAGTTCCTGTCTAAGTATTGTGTCCCATTAGATATCCCCAGGGATATGGAAATAGGGCAGGCACAATTGCCACTGGCTGTCTAATGATTGTGTCCCATGTAGATATCCCAGGGATACGGAAATAGGACAGGCACTATTTCCACTTCATGTCTAAGTACCGTAAATCCTCTATAAAGTCCCCCCTATCTATTAAGCCCCCCCTTTTCAGAGGAGGAAAGTTAATAAGCCCCCCCTCTCTACCCCCCCTCCCCAATGCTTATTCGTCACAAAAAAAATTAACGATTAACATGTACTGATCAGTTATGGTTTATTCAGGCTGGAAGTTCATATTGTTTTTGGTCTTCGGCCGCATGACATTCAACTTCATATGCTTAACTTTCTCAACTTTGCGCTCTAGTTCTCTATGGAGAATTGGCACCATTTTCTTATCGTTAGACAAAACAGTATACCGCCCGGGAACCACAAGTCCGTCCTCGAGAAACCTTGCTCTTGTCGGTGAAAATTCTAAGCTGCAACCTTCACGAGATAAAAATTTACACAGCAGAAATGATAATTCTATAGGCAAATGTCCAACTAGTTCTTGATCTTGAGAGCTGCTGGTAAACAGGCGGTAAATGCCAACTGAAAATTCATCATACAGCTTTGCTTCTTGTCTTGTATCATGCTTGCACGTGAGTTTTCGCCGACTACTGGCTTCCATATTTTTTTATAAATGTGATGACCACGAGCAACAGATTCAAACTCACAACAGTAGAGCTGGACAAAGGATGTTCCCTGAACTCTTGCTATTTTAAATTACAGCTTGTATATCGTACTACGATGAGCGAGGACCAGCAGATGCAAAATGATCTTTTGTCGCACACCGTGTATTTGTATTAAATAAGCCCCCCCTTCACTTTTAAGCCCCCCTTCAAAAGTGCTTGAAAAAAATAAGCTCCCCGGGGGGCTTAATAGAGGATTTACGGTAATGTGTCCCATGTAGATATCCCCAGGGATACGGAAATAGGGCAGGCACTATTCCCACGTCCAGTCCCTTCATATCAGTTGCTATAGAAACTTTGCACTGAAAAGCAAGGGTAAAAAACAACAGACATGGAATTTTTAGGGTTCACGAAAGAAATAAAATGTCACAGGTTTAGTCGTTCTGGTATTTTATTTCGCTTCTTTGATCAATACGGTTTTGTTTAAAACTTTAAAAAGAGCATAAATACTAATTTCGTTGAAAAGAATTCCATTCCCCGCAACTAACAATTAGCAATAAATAAATCGATTGCAATGTCTATGCAGATAATACAGGGCTATAATATATTAACTCTACAGTGCTAAATAGATCTCTTCATAAATAAATAAATAAATTACTAAATATAATAATTCAATGCTTATGCTTACTCTGACACAAGCGAACTTGCTCATAATAAACTTCTTGCAACATAAGCTATTCAGGTTATTCTGGTGGATAGGTGAAATTAAATATTAATTAAATATTAAAATATCTACAGGTTACTTGTCTTGCCGATTACAAATTGGTTGCATACATCGCATTTTTTTTTTTTCGCTGTTTAAATAAGATTGCTTACGACAAAAGTTTTTGAAAACCTTTGTAGTCCTTGCCCATGCCTTTTTAAGTCCAGACCTAAATTTCCAGAAACTGAAAGCTTCCTGGTAAAAATCTACCGGGTACCATTGACCTATTTCCAGCCGTCGCGTTTCTTTGAGGGAAGACAAACGACAGCCGCAAATGAGTCTGCACTCGTAGGTTGAGTGATTTTAAAGTCTTTCATTTCCGTAGCTCTCGAGGTCAAATATTAGAGAAAAAGTCGTTTAGCCAAGCATTAAAAACAAACAGTACTACATGACAGCACTGCTTAATTAATAGCTTTCATTAAAATGGTGAGGTTTTAGGCTTACAACCACAGACCTCAAAGTTAGAACTACCTTGTACAAAGCCCGCTCCTCGCCGCTCGGGACGTTTTGCTAGGAGGGACGTCTACGCCTCAGCAACAGAAATATTCCATACTGACGACGTAAATCAATGTTTACATAATAAATCCTGGGGAAACGTCCCTAGCGGAGAGGTGAGATGGCTGCTTATGCAAGCTACCTTGCACAGCATTTCCCATGAACTTGAAGTTAAAACTACTTGTTATGACGTTTCAAAGACCTGCTTAATACATTACAATTTGAACCAACTTCAAGAGGGTTCATTCACCTGATCCATTGTCATAAAACAAATTAAGGAGGCAATTAAATATTTTAGCAGTTTACAGAAGATTTCAAAACGTATCCAATTCAACAGACGAATCGTGCTGTACGCTAAATCCAAATCAAACGAAAATTCTCCTACATATACGTTTACCTTTGTCCATTTTCTTGTGCCTTCTGCGAAGTATTACTTAGTTCTCAAGTCGATTGTCTTAAAAACAATGTTCTAGCAACCCAGAAGCCTTTGACTCCAATCAATATTTTTACAGAAAAAAAAAATTTCCGTAGCTATTAGTATAATACTGTGCCTGCTAAACACTAGTATTAAAACCAGTTTTAAGGCTTTCTGAACACTATAACGGATAACTTTTCACGTCAACATGAAAAATACTCCGGCTTCGTATGAAAAGAAACGGCCCAGAGCTAGATCAGGTCCTTCACACACATTGAGCATCGTATCGGAGCGGTTGACTGAGAAGGTTTTAGTCCACTGGATTCCGATTCTCACTCCTGAATATTTACTTTATCACTCTATTCCAGTCCTCGCTCCTGCTCATTCACTTCCGCTACGGTTCGAATAAACGAATCATCGGTTACATTTTGTTGCCTCATTTAACATGCCTTTCATTCTCTGATCAAGCTGTTTAGAAAAACATCTCTGAATATTGAAAGAGCAAAACAATTTCAGTTATTGGTGAAAAATTGCACTTAAATTGCTGAAACTGACCAGCTCTTTCAACTTTTGATTTTAATTCGTTCATACAGCACAACGCCTTCTATGCCAATGAGCTAAATGTTAACTATGACTGCATGTTCACACTGCCACGACGAGTAGCATAGAAATCTACCGGATATATAACGATCCACTTTCAACATCGAGGCGGCAGAGCTTCGTTCCGCTAAGAAACCGCGGCTAAATCACCGTTCAAAAGTGTGAACAAAGGCCATCCATATTCGCTATGGTTTTAGTGACGGCGCAAGAGCTATCCGGCCTAATGAAGACAGCCTTAAAATCTAGTGCAACTCGTTCTCACCAATTAAAACAAATTTGACCTTCCTTCCAACCAATGAGAAGCTAAACAAACAATCTCCCCGCGCTTTGCATAGGTTGCACGTGACCTCGCCCTTTAACACCAGTTTAAGTCGGTCATTCAAAGCAAGTTGGTTTCAATTGCTTTAAATGGCATAAACGATCATTCCTAACAGCTTTAATTAAAGACTAACTACTTAATTAATGGCAAAATTAATTGCCGATGCACTTTTATAGCTGTAGAAGCAACTAGCGGCCTAGCCGCCCGTTTGCGGTGCGCCTTCACTGAATTATTTTCATTGTTCTGCAGTTTCGTTTCGGCTTGTTTGTATCAAAAACATCGCTTGCCTTCCAGCGCTGCATTAACAGTACCTTCCCTTGTCGTCCAAACCAAGCCTTGCGTGGTATCCCAAACTACAAATCCCAGAAGTCCACTCTGGCAACTCAACCTTGCTTCACTCATAATTATGAAAACTACTACAACAGACTGACTCATACGTAATCTCCCTCCTCATCCATATTGTCCATGTGACCTGGCGGAGGTACGATGGTCGGTAGCGGTGACATCCCACGCATTGGACTTCCCACATTTTGATTCATGGACGAACGAGGGGAGGGGCCTGGGGATTTCTTCGGCGAGCCACCAAGAGGAGAAGAGGGGAGGGGTGGGTCACACATAGAAGAAGTTGAGAAGAGTTTATACCAACCAATAACCAGATTACTGAGGTCTAATTCGTCCAGTAAAATCTGTACAACTCCCATGAAAACTTTTCTATCCATGCGACCGTAGTCACCCCACACAATAACCTGCAACAAAAAAGCATTTGTTAGACAGGATCGCCACTGGTTGCAAACCCAAATCGCACGTGTTAACACTCACGATTCCATTTCCGCTTTCCGAAAATCTCACTTTCAAAACAAGTTTAAGCGCAAAACCTCTCTGGTGAAAATGCGTTTTATTTGCATGAATAATTGATATCAATGGCTTGGAACTAAGCCTCGCATTGAAACAGAGGCTTGAGGCAACTCGGATATGGCCTGTTATGCGATGACTAGACTGCAAAGCAGTCGATTTTTTTCTCAAAATCGGTTTAACGTAGCGTAAGAATAGCCCAAGAATCTCGCGCGCGAGAAGCGCTCGTGTCTCACACACCCTACGGACGTGTAGTCTCGCTCTCTGTTTTCAGCCTCGGCCCAGACCTTTTTTTTTTTTACTGTTCGCGCGTACTTGAATACGTAAAAATACGGACTGTTTTGCAGTCTAGGCGATGACCAGTTACGGCTACCTATATTTCGAGCAACAACAATTTGCTGTTTGTTCCCTTTAAACCCGGATTCTGCGCAGCTTTGAACCGATTTTTTCATCTAAATACCAAAATGTAATGTAATGTAAGGTAACCTTTCGTAATATAATATCGTGGATTAGGGGACAACAAGACGCGTTCTCTTTACATATTTTAAACATGTTAATAGTAAGCGCGGACGTCAGCATACACGGCGCCACTGACAGCCGCTATTAGTCCATTTATGTGCTCACTGTAGCCCAGCCATAGCCCATGATATGAATGCGTAAAAGGTAGATTGCACCACCGGGGAAACCTCCCCTACCATCCGCCAAATTTGTTTACAGGAAAAAGAAACCTCGGCTGACCTCGCTAAAATCGCCCCAAACCGCAACTGTTGAAGTGCAATGAAATCGCCTCTATGCACGACCCTAAATATTCGCTGGTTTAAAATTTAAAGTCAGTAAAGCAAGGCTATGTCACTTGCCTGTAATGTTTTGCCCGTAAATTCTACTTTAAACTCTAACTGTTGTTGATATAAAGGTTCTAAAGTTCGCCGCGCCGTACGAGTCTTCTTCTTCACCAAGCATCTTTTTCCCTCCATCACGTATACCTTAACATAAGGCGCTAAATACAAAAACAAAACAAGAAGAGACAACAGACAACATCGTTCAGTATACATTTGAAGTCAGTTATCCTCAGTCATTCGAGCTCAAACAAGCATGTATCCATCCATCCGTTCATTACCAAGCATTTGCTCATTCATCGTCTGCTCGTTCACTCATCCCTTCAAGCATTCATTCACTCATTTTCCCTTGCCATTCATTCATTCATTCATTCGTTCGTTTGTTCAGTCATTGATTCATTAACTAATAGGCTATTTGCATCATGACGTCATTTCACTACTACGACCAGAATCCTTCAGGGTTTTGCTTTCTTGTGCAAATTAGGGCTTTTGTTATTTAAACCTCGCTGGGATTACCAAATTTACGAAACGCAGATACATTACCTGGAAGAATCTTTGACCCAGGTTTGGGTAACAAACCCTTCGCTCGTACGACTTCTACTTCTAACATTCCTTTTCTATCAAATAAAGCCAGTTGAATTTCCCCCATGGAGGGTGAGGCCAGAACCTGACGGCCAACTATCTGAGCCGGACCCAGGCCATCTATAAAATCACCCAAGTGACCTTCATTTCCAAGCTTTATCCCCGGCGGAATCCACGGACTGTGGAGATAAAAAAAGAAGTGTAGTTACTTCCTCTCAAGACCCTTAAAGGGAGAAGGCAGGAGCGACTACGATATCGTTTTTCTACAGCACAGAAAACATTACTATCGTTCGTACTTTTCCATGCGATATCTGAACACGTGATCTCATTGCACCGAGAAATTCTATGGTTTAAAAAACTTGGAAAACTCGCTACAGCAGAGAGAATATTATGGAGCAAATCCATCTTTCTATGGTAACCATGTTGGTGGTCAAGAACAAAAATATTTCTATCCTTTGGGAACCAAACTCTATTCTAATACAAATTCTTTTAAATATTTTTATTGTATTCACCATTTTCACCAAGACCATGATGCACCTTGTTCACCCCCAAACTTTTGCACAACCATTGTCTTCAATTTCTCTTTAGCCTGTTCCAGGCTCCTAGAGAGTTCGCTGCTAGCAGAGGCTGGTACCAAAATCAAACGGGAGGAAAACTGGGGAGAGAAAGGGCTTTTTCCCGTCACAACTCCCCTTTCCCACATCACGTGATTATATTTTCGCGTGCCTTACCCTTACCCGTCATCCCCACTATCTATGAGCCTGAAACAGGCTAATTTCTCTTAGGTCCACTGTAATACCCAGGAGAAATTGGATACAATGGTTATGTAAAATTTTGGGGGGTAAAGAAGGTGCCTCACGTCTCGGTGAAAGTGGTCGCCATGTCACGTGGTTTGCAAACCAAGAATTGGATATTTTGTCGTTGAGCTTGAGACTGGGTCGGTGTTGAGTTGAATTGTACTATGGGACTGTATGTTTCCTGAGCAACCTCCTGCTAACCAATAAAAGAAGCGATAGCATCCCAGAAACAGTCCCATGGTGCAATTCGACACAACACCGACCCAGTCTCACGCGCCATCCTCAGAATGGCCAATTGGTGAAAACGCGGTTGTCATGGAAGAAATATGCTGTGCAACGACAAACTCTTGTTAAAGATTTTCGCAAGAGCTCTTACCACCACCTTTGTCGGTAATTTCAAAGCAATATTTTCAAAGGCACAAAAAAGTCTCTGACAATATCTTAGGCTTATCATATTGTCTGGAAATTAAACGTCTGATGAGACAGGTAACTGCGTGGAGCGCTGTTAGGTCGTCACGCACGAGGAAGAGGGCCTCGCGAGGAGAGAGGGAGCCATAACGAATATGCTTTTATTGTTTGATAATTAACCTCTTTCGCTTGTATGTTTTGTTTTCCCAGTAGAGGTCTCAAGGGAACTTGACCCTTTGTCTTTTCATAAGGCACGTGAATAAGACGAAATTTGAAAGAAACGGTTCTCTAGAGTATTATCACATGACATGTATTGGGAAAACAAAACATACAAGAGGTCTCTTCGTTCAGATCATGCAAGCATGCGTGTCGTTAATTAACAGAACAACTCCAGATTTTTTTGAAAATTCATCAGTTTGGTGGGATAATTTCATTACCAATTTTACGTTGAACATTGTACCACACCAGCTTCGATAGAGAACAGATCGGTAAAAGTTGTATGTTCCAATAGTGTTTTAATGAGGATACCAGACATTTTCATCTGTTTTTCTGTCGCCGAGAAACGATGTTTAACGCATTTCCAGTTAGCTGAAAAAGTCATTTTTTTAGCTTTCGAAAGATGACATGAAGAAAGCAACGAGAAATCGAATCGTCATATACGAGAATATCATCTTGGCGCAGAATTTAGAATTAGACGCAGAATCACCTTGTGCAGTATTAATAAACGGTTACAAGAAATTGTTACGTGCGCTCATCTGCATAATTGGCAGTACCATAGGAAGTACTACTCGGTAGCTGTCATTTAAATGGTCACACTTGAGAATTTTATCCAGAACCCAAAGCAAGAATTTCTCTGTACAGCAATATGAACTGAATTCATAGGAAAGTACTACTCAGTGGCCGTGATCTAAATAGACACACTTCATAATTTTATCCAGAATCAAAAGCTACATGTAGACTATCTGATCTCTGTAAAGCATAACAAACAATGCCATAGGAAAGTACTGCTCAGTAGCTGTCATTTAACAGCCCACGCACGTAACCACTTAGTCTTTTGATAGCTTTAAGTCACAGACTTAATGGGCTACAGAGGCATTCTGTTACACCTCTTTCGGCAAACTACAAAATTATGAGGTTCTCAATCAGAGATGACAGCGGCGAAACAACTGGCCATTAACTGTGTTACAAAAGCTGCAAATACAACAGTTGTTATATACAGCTTTCTTCTTTTCCTAGCTACAAATGCCTTGAAATTTCACTTGAGTTTACAATTTTTAACTAATCAAAAACACATACGAGATCATCAAAATGTGCTATTCATATTGAAATAAATCGTCTACTTACAGATAAGTCGATATTTTAAAAAGTAATAATAATAAAGAAAATGTTACGACTATGAAATCAAGTTAAAGAGATAAAAACGATCGTCAACATATGAAAGTACCTTTAAATAAAGATAAGACCGAGAGGAAGGAGTCAAATGCATCAACGATGCCAAATATGCCATTTTTTTTTTTTGGAAAACCAAGATAGTAAAATGAAATTGTTTTACTTACGAACGCAAGTAATGTTAAATTATATCCTTATAAATAAATCAAAGCATAACACAGAGTAACTTAAGCGCTCATTAAAACTAATTACACAACATGCGCAAGCTTGATCGCCATATGTCGATACATCTAAAACAAAACGGACAGTTTAAATAATTAGAAACTCTTTTGACGAGACATCTATTAGCATAAAATCGACAGAAAACCAATTTAAACATTAACTCTGACACTGCTAAGGTTTTATTAGTCAGATCTCGCACTGGATCACTGATTACAAACCTCGAAGTGGTTAAGCGATCCACATGGAAAGAAATCTGTGCAGTCGCCACAAAAACAGTTAAAATAAGGCAATATCTACAAAATGTAATAACCATTTCGCAAGCCAGCAGCGGTATTAATTAAAACAATTTAAATATAACTAGAGAGCGATACTTGCATAATGTTATTATGCCGCCATTTTTTTTATAGATCGGGGTTAAGGCGAAATGAAAGTAATTTTAAGCTTATGTTGCCTTATTAATAATTTTGAACTTGTTTTAAAGACACGCGTCGAGACCTGACATTTTAAACATAGTTTTTACTACCTTGAACAATACCCCGACACTAGAGAAGTAGTTTCGCTTATGTATTGGAGATCATCAAAATTCAAACCGCAGTCTTTTGCTGCGGTGCTGTTTATGATACTATAAAGAGCTACTTTAAATGATTCATCCCCTTCAAATCAACAGGAAGGAAAGCAACTCAGAGATATCCTTCCCTGATATGCTCAGCCGTATAGTATACTGCACAAGGATATACAGTTCTTTGAATATCTGGAGGTAAAAAACTTTAAATCAGAGCCCTTGCCTTAAAATGAAACATCAAAAAAACTGACAAAGTTCCGAATTATTTGGAGCAGAATGGATTTGTATACAAAGTTACTAACTCACGAGTAAACTCCATATACCACTTGAGAAAAGACACATTACAGGTAGTGCCGGCATAGTGTACAGTGCAACAGCATTTCAGCGAACATCGACGGAAAAATCTCAATAACAATCCGCCCAGTTTTGAAGAGAATCGAAGAGCAAAAAGCAGCACTGAAATCAATCAACACTCGGGAGCTTTCACTTTAACCGTCAAACTTCACGACTTCATCCACAGGCTCAAAAAATTAGCATCATGTGCAGCATAATAAATAGTGCCAAAAAAGGTGTTTCTCAGTAGCTTTCGTTTGAATGACCTCGAGAGATTTCATTCAGAGACAACAAATTTAGAGCAGCTTACATACCGCCACGTAGCTTTCAGGACATTTTGTCCATGGACTCATACGTCTGAACACGGAGTTGCAGCGGCGGAAGTTCAACTCTGGGAGTGAATTTTTCACAGAAACCCTTACCTGTTTGTAGCCTTTACAAACTGTCGCGCGCCGTCCCAAAAACTCGCCATTAAAGCTGAAAATTTGAAATCCAAGGAACGCAATTCGTGTACCAATTAATCGTATTTAAATAGCACAAAGCGCTGTCCCGAATATTAGTTAAGAATATTAATATTACATGCATGCTTGTTAGAACCAAAAAAACACACGCGTGCAAATTATCAACCGTGGTGAAAATTGCGTCATGTAACACACATCAACTGTCGCTGCAACTGTTAACGAGCGCGAATCTGCGAAACAAAGAGATACCATCTGGACAATGAATTATAATAAATTACGTATGTATTGCTGGTCATTAATTATTCACATGAGAATTGCGCAAAGGCTCAGTTTTTTGTTACAAACGCCACCGTATTTCTGTTAGTGCGAAAGTACAAAACAGTGTGATGTTTCTACAACTTCTTTCTTTAAACTTTTCATATACGTTACGTGATTTTTTCCAAGATGTTAGTCTGAGATAAAGTCTTCAATTTTTAAATCCATGAAGCAGAAGGTTGCTTTTAACTTTGATTGTATACTCCTGTATTATTAATTGTATTTTTTCTGGGACAGTAACAGTATGATTCGTTAACCAGCTAAGCTCTGCGCTGCTTCTCTCATTTTGTTTGCATAAATTTTGACATCCAAACACAGCAAGTGTGTAAAAGGCAAAAAAACACAATTTGCTTGTCAAATCTTCGAAAAATCGCAATAAACGAGACACTCCTTACAGTTTACAAAAAGCGGGCCCGATGAACCTTTGATCGTAACTTTGATTTTGTTCCATTTTAACAAGAAACAAAAGCGAGGTTAAAGGTAACGACTGATTGAGAAAAAAATGACGCACTGTCAATCTTATTTGAAGGCAGACCCCATTTGACATAAGACAAGGCATAAAAACGCCAAAAGCTGTTTCTGCTAATATAAAGTACCTGGCCGGAGCCCAAAGATGGGCGCTCATCGTCTGCAAAACCCGCTCGATTCTTGACATGGCCACGTGCGAATGTTCAAGCTACAGGCTTGGAAATAAGGGTCTACGGATCAGTTCAGAGCATCACAGCTGGTAACTAAATCAAATCATAACCGAAGAAACCGGTCATAAAAATGAATAGTTTACCGTTGCGCTCCGTCGCTATAGAAGCCATAATGTCCCACAGGTATTTAGTGTTTTGTGTTTCATCAGACCATCATCTTGAGCTCAGCATATATCGATTGTTTCACATTAATTTGGTTTCCAAGAAAACAGAAAAACCGGCAAGTGCTCGAGGAGAAAATGTTAAAAATAATTTGTATCAAAAGGAGAAAATGACACCACAAGACAGTACATTATAGCACGCAGATAAAATGTGACCATTTAACGACCCGGCTAAAAGTTCGATTTTCGAACTTGCACGTTTAGTTTACTAAGGAAACATTAATTTGTCTTTTATTTACAATCGTTCGTTTGAGGCATTTTATTTAACTTAGAAGTGCTGTTTAACAGCCTACTCTGACCATCTTGACATCCCACACGGAGGATGAAACGTGTAGAATGTTAAGTAGTAGTGCGTGTTTGCAGTATCATAATAAAATGCCCACAGCAAGAATTAACGCATATAATTTGCTTAAAGAAAGTTTCCTTCACAAAGTCATATATTCTTAACAAACAAAGATTCAATTTACGTATCAAATGATTAAAAAGTGCTTGAAGAAAACGCAGTTTACGAGAATGTCTTAAAAAATGAATAATAATAATAATAATAATAATAATAATAACAGTTATAATAATAATAATAATAATAATAAAGTACGAATCATAGGAGTGGTATCCCGTATTCTATACCACAGCCTTCTCTCGATTCATCTAAAACAAAGCAATGGTATTTTTAGTGCCTTTTTAAAATTATTTAAAATATCCTTTCAATAAGCACATCGCGATATTCTGAAGCCGTAAACTTCATCGTTTAGCACTTGAAGAGATGATGATATTGTCAACGCAGAAACATCGCGAGAGCGTCGGACTTAAAATCAAAAGGATCTCGAATAAAAATCGCTTTGGCTTCTGGAAAGCAATTGTTGAATAACGCGCCTTATATTTTTATAAACAGACTAAAAGGTAGAAACGTACTTGTTTAGCATAAGGCTCACAATCAGTGAACGTTTCCGGCAATTCTGATTTTCAAATATAAATTGGTAATTGGTCCTCGTCAGATTTAGACCTTTTTTGAAGTATTTCTTGTAATATACTGTTGGCTGATAAAAAAAACCAAACTTTTCTATACATTTCATGAGTAATTTTATTTTTTTGTTAAAACGAAAATCTGAACTAAGCAAGTAATAGTAACCTCGCTAACCAGAAATTTAAATCGAAATTTGGTCCATTTTAAAACCACTTCGCCAATTCAGTTTTTTTTAAAACAATAATATTGAAAAAAAAAATCGAAAGTAAAAATAAATATCGAAATTTGATACATCTTTGCGCCTTTTCGATTTCCTAATTGCAAGTAACGAGTTCTGACAAAAGCTAAGTTACAAGTCACGCCACATGCCAGGAAGACAAGTAAAAATCGTGAGGGTCTTGAAGCTTCTTGATCCTGGGTGTTGATTGACACCTTACCTGCGAATCTGTGATTCAGACTGCGTCGATGTTGTGTTGAATTGCATTATGGGATTGTTTTGGGTCTGCTATCTGTTCATTCATTGGTTATTACGAGGTTGCACAGGAAACTGAGTTTGAATTTGTCTCCAAAACAGTCCCATGGTGCAGTTCCACAGAACACAGATTCAGTTTTCAGTGCAACCTCAAATGGCCATTTTGTTTGTTTTGTTGATCCACTGTACATTACATGATATTATTATGTGTAATCAAATGGTGACGAGTGAGCAGTTTTCACTGCTGTTTTGAACGCTACTTTCGCAACATTAATTCTTTTTTAACATCAACAAGTATAAGATGGTAGTACCAGTCCATCAGACTATATTAGGAACTAAGAAAAAAATCCCAGAGCCCGGTAGCTTTTTTCCCGACCCGGTCATCCCCCAAAATAACGAACGATCCCTAGAGGACCTATATCACATTTTTGCATCTTAATTGAGCCTAAATTTTTCAAGTTTGTCCTTTTGAATCCATGACAACGTTTGTCCATCCAAAGACGTCCTCACTTGTTTATAGTCTACTAATACCTTTCTGCTATTTTTCTATTTTGACGTACTAATATTTTAAGATCTATTTTAGTTCGAAATATTGACTTTCAACATCATGAAAAGAGCTCCTTGACAGCGCTGCAAACAAACATACAAAATAACGAGTCAGCGGTACCTACCTACTCTCAGAACTAGTAACCGAGCCTGGTATGCTGTTTAAGCTGCCGCTCCTGTCGCTTGCTATTGACGATGACCGACTGCTTCGTCCACTCCCGCCAAAACTCTCGCTGCGTCCCGTGCCACGGGCAGGCTTGATGAAGCCTCCTGTAGGGAAGACATGGAGATCATTAACACTTCCGGAACGAGCTTCTTCATGAACCAGCAGCTTGCCTGTGAAGGAGAGGGGTAAGGAGAAAAATCGTCAGTGTTTACTCATTTACTCACCTTCAACATTGAGGTAATATTTACTGATGTTTATTGCGACTATTAAGGTGGCTGGACTGGACTTTTTAGGGAGTATGCTTCCCCACTTTGAGCGTTTACTACATAGGCATCAACAAAGATATCGGAATAAGGTTGCTACAGCTGTACTAAATAAAGATAAAAATATGTTGTGACTCTTGTTTTATTGACATCGGAGTTGCCATGGCAACGTAATGACGCCATTACGTTTTTTACTTGCCTTTGTATTTCTCGGCACCGGGAGTTCAGAAATCGCTTAAAGGAGCTTGTACCTCCCTTAGTTGCCTCAATTATGGCAAAGTTTGAACAAATTCAAAGAAAGCGTTTGAGAAATATTTTGACACAAAGTTTTAAGGGTCATAAAAACGGAGAAAAAACATTCTATCAACATAATTGGCTAACATTTAAAGAGAATGATGAGATCTGGAAATGTAGTTTCATCTCATAGTGGTTTGATTCCATTTGAAACTGTGTACGAAAAAAAAAAGGAGGCATTGCTTTGGCAGAATGCTGGAAAGAAGAATTTGATTAGCGTGCGTTCGGCCGCTTTCTTTATTATTTTTGTATGAAATTTGGTCCACGCCCACAAATTTCACGGTCATTTAAAATATTGACAACCCCGAGATTAATCATCAATTTCAATCGCTTTCATCTTACATCTTAAGTGTAAAGGTCATAATAGTTATCTTTCCCGTGCTATATTCTCAGCTAAAGAAAAAAAAAATAGACGAAAAAGTCGAAAGAAGCATTGAAACATGAGAGAACAGAGGCATCAAAGAAAACGAGTTCAGTAAGATTCCAGATACGTGAGGTTGGAAGTGATTAAAAGTAAAGACCGAACTTACCTTCGATCCAGCAATAACAGTTAGCATTAGAAATTGAAGTAACAGTTTTTATCCATGATCAGTGTTGCCCGACAGAAATGGACCATTTTTGTTACAGATCAGTTAATCGCCTCAATTAAAGCACTGCATATCACAAGTAAAGGAATACATCAATCGTTTATGAAAAATCGTGAAATCAGTAGTCTACAGCATTATGTACGGCAAAGCTGCTGGTAAAGCGCGATTACTACTCTACCGTTACTGGTAAGTACATTATAACAGAAAGGTAAAGAAACTGGTAAGATTTAAAACTGTGACTGAGGTTTTCGTGTTATAAAAATATGAGATACTAATTAAAGATTGTCAAAACGAATGATTCCGTTTTTTCGGGCATGTAATTGTTATTAGCATGACCATAAAAAACGGTCCAATGTTATATCGTTGGTCGAGCTACTGGTACTTATTCTTAGCATGACCAAGAAATACGGTCCAATTACGGATCTTATATCCTAGATTGGGGCACTGGTAATTGTTAATAGCACGACTGTAAATACGGTCCATTGTTGTGTCCTACGTCACACTGCCAATAAGTGGTGTTAGTTACGTACACATAAATCGTACTTTAGACACCTTTAAGACTATAAAATAAGACTGTTATTTAATCATAAATCAAAATGCTGGTTAAGTTGTATTAGTCTCGCATAAGCTATGTTACAAAATGGTCCAAGAAGGGAAAATAGCTGGAGAATTGAAGTCAGTAAAAAGAGAGACAAAAAACAAAACAAGGGTAAACAAAAAAGACAATAGTTTAAGATAAAAGAGAAAAGCCATTTTAATAAAGAAAAGAACTTGGATTCCTTTCTTCCCAAACGAAAGAAAGCGATTTCTTTCAAAAGAAGTACCTCCGAGTTGTTTTAAGGAATCAGAACAAAGTGAAACTGCCTAAGAGTTTGCCAAAGAATGTTGCACCTTATGCCCAAACTACAGCAGACTTCTTCCAATCGTCTCTTGTCTGGGCTCTCAATTTGGCACCGATGTATAGCACAACAGTTGAGACAACGGAAAACTAACAAAATCTAAGAACTTCATATCAACACATACCATTGGGAAGTCCACGATCTTTGTCATGCAAGCTTGAACTACTCTGACTCCTACCATGGCCGAGAGGGACTGGACTAGGAATAGGAAAAGGACTACGCGCCCGCTCCCCTTCAGAATCGTTGATCGGTAAACTACTCAGGCTGTTACGGCGACGCGTGGGTGCAGTCTCTGACAAAAGATAAGAACAGAACATTAGTCACTCTTCACTGCAGCTTCGTTTGATAGGTTATAAGGTAAAGCTGGACATCAAACACAGGGTCCAGTTGTTCGAAATTGGATAATGCCAGTGCCGGATCCCGACCCTCAGAAAAGGGGGGGTGGGCGGTCTCCAAAAAAATTCTTTTGGCCCTTTGGGCCTCAGTTTGGTCTAAAAATAAGGGGGGAGGGCGGACCCCCGAGCCCCTCCCCTGGATTCGCCACTGAATGCTACCCACTGGGTAAATCTCTTTCCACTGGATAACGCATTTGGTTTTCCTAATACCTAACCGCTGGATAATGATTTATCCGGTGCGCTATCCAGCGTCTGAACAACAAGGCCTGGAGATAACCCGAAGTTGGGATGATGGTTGATCACTAGGTTACTCGCATTTCTCCACCACGAAGAAAAAAATTAATGTGGAAAAAATGCTTTAACCTAAAAAAACAACTCATCATTAACAAGCTTGGTAGAGCTCAACCAAAGTTCTTAAAATTTTTGAATATTGAGAACCGCAAAATCCTACCGGCAAGAAATGGTTTTGCGCGGATAGTAAAAAAGGAGTGAGGCTGGCAAACAAGAACGAAGAAAGGGAAGGAGTTTATAGGACACCCAACAATAGACGACACGAGGGAAGGACAATGAGTCCGCGACAACTAACAAGTCAACAGATAACTTTTGCTTTCATGAACTGAACATTCGGGGCGATACACGATTCATTTCGACTCTGGTCAGAAGATCCAGGATGGCCTTTCGACTCTGATGATCCGTCCGACTTCAAAGCAGGTTGTTGTCGACTCCAGTATTCAAACTACTTATGGCATGACTTCTAGATTCAAACAATCAACTGGTTTTATCAGAATGCTTTGAAAGGCCAAATTGTGAAAGATGACGATAATAAGAAAACTGGAAAACACAGAATTTACATCTGGGCTCCGATTGGATTTCATTCGGAAACTTCTAAAAGCCCCCGCTAAACACTTTTTTTCTAAAAAAATTACGTTCTACTCAGCAGTTTGAATTTATAACGGCTTTACGCCTGCCTTAAAAGGGACAAAGCTCTGTATTCAAGGAACTGTTACTTAATACTTGACACTGACTAAAAAGCTTATTTAAACTGTTTATAAGTAAGGTTATCCAGTTTATTTGATCGATTGGTTAGGCGCGTCTTCATGGTAATCTATTATGTTTAAATTTTTAAGGTAGGCACTTAACATTTTAATAAAGGAGTGCAAAAAATGATATTAATCGTGCAATTTAGGTGGTAAATGCCTTTACATGTAATTTTAGCAGTGGTGCAGTATTTCATTGTCGTCACGCAACATAAACGCTCTTGCCACAAGTAACCCTTTAAAATGACTGCAATCATAGATTCCTTCTGTGCTGTCACGCAAATAAGAAAAGGTGTTACGTGACTGGAGTCTAGCAGTAAAAGATTAAGGCGATGATAAGTGACATGTGAACTCACGAGGTCTTCTGTGACTTTCATATGGCACTCCATGCTCATGCGTGGTCATATCAGGTGAGTACATGCGTTCTATAACAGTAACATGGCAGCAGTGTTAGAATTTATGACAATTGATCAGCAGTTAACGTTGTCACTCTAAGTATTAAGGGAGAAGCAAGGATTAGCACTGTCGGTTAATGCGCAGCCTTCTTTGCGGGGGGTTCCGTGTTCGATTACCAGACGTGACCTCAAATCCTTGACCGACTTCTTTCTTTACCGTGTAGCTTTAAGTAGCTTTACAGAACAGTAAAAATCGATCACTGATGGAGAGAGGAGGGGGTTAAATTAAGCAAAGTCGGCCGCTGGTTTGCGAGTTGACTGTGTACTTTTACCAGTTACCGACGTTGTTCAATAAGGACCTGTATCTTCATTTTAACTTTATGAAGAGATGAAAGACCGCAATTAGGTTGTTTTGAGATTTTTGACTAAAAAAAAAATTAAGGAGGTGATCAAGTGCGGCACCATGCACTAGAGAGCTTAAAGTGTAACAAACGTTAATCCTTTAACTTAAACTTATGAAAAAAAAAAAGTTAAGTGTTATTCGAAAAAGTGCAAGTTGAATGTGAAATGAGTCAAATGAATATTAGTTTACCGAAAACTATTGATTAACAGCTCTTAACTTTATAATTATTTAATCCCTCCTGTAAAACGATTGTAGGTAAATAAGAAAAAAAAAACGAACGTTAACTCAGTTAAACCATTACAACTTTGAAAATATTTATAATAATTATTATTATTGTTATTATTATCGTCATCACCATTATCATTATTATCATCAGTAATATTAATAGTATTTCTCATTTACTGATATTAATTCATGTTATTTTCCTGGTTTTAGTGTTACCTTGCGGGTTATGTAGCCCCTGATGGTGACCCAGAGGATGCGGTTTGTTCTCTGATAACGGTGGACTTCCCGTTCTTGCTCTGGGCCTCGGAGACTGGCGCCCAGGCCTCGGAGACATACTCGGATCATAGAAGCCTTCACCTTGCTGAGCATAAGCGGTTTCCGGGGCCTGGCCATAAGCTATCCTGCCTTTAGCGCCACCGATGACCAGTTTAGCTCTACCAGGATCAACTTCCTTAACTTTCTGTTTAGCAAGTCGGGCTCGATCTTCTTCATCTATAGTTTAGATACTTAGTGTTAGGATTTATATCATTCTGCAAAACTACTGTTAAAGGAGCTTTGTCAAGATATTTTAAAATTACTTTGCGACTATAACGACATTATCTTGCAATAGAAAAAACGTCAATATATTAGTATGGTGAAAGTAAGAATCACTTAGGATGTAACAGCAATCTAAAAACAATGGTTTTAGCTGAAGGAGATTAAAGTGGCTTTATGGACCACAAACAAAAAGTTAAGGCAAAATATTCCAAATGCAGAAACTTCACTCCTTTAAATGCGGATTCCACTGATTTTCAGTTCAGTTTTAGTTCAGCATGTTGTGTTTACCGTTTATTATTTAAACAGAGTTATGGCAGAAGTTAACGTCATCCTTCGTATTTTTTTTTCTGATCCTAAAAAGGTTTTCTTCAACGTATCTTTAGCTTTATAGGATAAAGCTTTTAACACATTTTAAGGTCGAGAGAAGGGTTTAAAAAGGTAAAAACGTTAGCATTCACAATAAAGCGGATTGATTTATCAAATTCAAAGAAACTTTTAACGGGAATAACATGAATTTTAATTCACTGATTTTTAAACCTCCACCGTGCAAAATGTAAAACCGTGTGGTGTTGTGTCAGTGCTGTGTGAGTGGTCTTAACACAGGTAGCCTAAGCTGGTTACCCAGCCTGTGCCCCTGTGCTTTGAATGTTTGAATGTCTTACCCATCGGTTCCCTTCCTGGAGGCAATTGCGGCAACAACCGGGACTTTTTAGCCCCGGGGCCTCCGCTAGGGGACATTCCACCAGGGGAGTACGATCCAGGGGAGTTATAGCCTTGCATACTCGGGGATGTGCGTTCGTCGTAAAAGCGGCCTGTTGGTCCATGTTGGTGGGAAGGCATGGGTCTAGACTGTTGTGGCTGCATTCTGTTGGGGTCAACGGCGTAATGTGGGTAGCTCGGTTGAGGAGACTGGGACAGATGATGAGTAGAAGGCGTATGATATTGCTTGACAGTGTAAGCTTAAACGAAGTAGTTACAGTACGATTAGCACAAATTGCCCTTACAAATATGCAAATGTTTTAAGTTTAAATATGAGAAACGCCTACATAAAGGGCTGTGCTTATCATGGCAAAAAAGTTCGAAAATTACTTTATTCATAAAGGATTTAAACATAACGGAAGGTAACTTGCTATAAAATGTAGTTTAAGCCGTGATGTTTAATATACGACAAAAAGCACAAATTATTTTAAAAGAAGGCTTTAAATAATTATTTCATTTAACTTTAGTTTCCTCAACGTTTGGTAGTATTACATCATCAAGCTGGTTTATCTTTCTCGCTAATCTGGCAGTGCTTTACTTTAATCTTTTGCAAACGCCAAGCGCTTTGGCTTGCCGGGTATCCTCGTAATTCAGGTTTTGTACATGGCGATGTAGAGTTTGTAGCGTTTGTGTTCATTTACCCACGGTGGTACCGTCGTTAAATACAGAGGTATTGTATTAATATTTGTATGGTAAAACAAGTAAAAAGACACTCCGTTATGGGTAATCAAATGTATGTATTAAACACTTTAACAAGCAGCGACAATTTATTGTATTCCAGCTACCGTGAATCCTCTAATAAGGGCCCCTCGCCCTTTCAGGGAAAGAAAGTTACAGTGCAACTACTGCAACCGGGGCCACTAAGACAAAGTTAACCAATTGGATTACAGGAAAATAACAATACATTTCAGGAATGTTGGTGGTGGGCCAATCAACAGCTCGTAAAAAACAATAAGTTATTAGAAGCGCACAATTCAAATTTTGATAGCAAACGTTTTTCAAGAAAGCAAACTGTTTCACCAAAAACTGTTTTTCTAATCGAAACTTAACCTATAACACCCAGGAGACGTATTTGTTTGACATGAGCTGTTATTTTTTTTATCTACCAGCAATTTCTTGGCAACTCAAAAATACAACTAACGTTTACGTTTTTCGCCTCCGTCAACACTTTAAGGGAACTCTCAGGAAACATAGGCTTTCTTCAGCGGGTTCAAAAGGTCACGTCTGTAGGTTTTAATTGGTTGATTTCGATCCATGTTGTTGACTTCATTTCGCGGTAATTATGATTGACAACTAACTTTCTTGGAATGTATTGTTATTTTTCTGTCATCTAATTGGTCAACTTTGTCTAGGTGGCCCCGGTTGTAGTGGTCGCACTGTTATGTCCCCCCTTCTCTTTTAAGCCCCCCTCCCCCCACTAATCATTATTCACAACAAGATTAATAAATGATAGACTGTTACTCAATCAAGACTGTAACACTTCATGTGAAGACAGGTACGGTATGATTCATTCACGTGCTGAAATCCAGGGCTTGTTTTTGATCTTCGGCTGCACGACCTCTAACTTCACGTACTTGAGCTTTTCCACTTTGCGTTCTGGTGATTTATGGATAACTGATACAATTATCTTCGCTGAATTAAATAAGTCCCCTCTCGGCTGTTAAGCCTCCAGCCCCCACCCCTCAAACCTGCTTGAAGAGCCCTCAATAGACAATTTACAGCATATCATAAGTTCCATCATACCTTGCACCACCTGTGGTTGAGAAAAAGGAGGCCTGGGACTGTCGCGATGATGATCAATCAGCTGTTGTTTTAAAAGTTCGCTGTCGGGTGAGTGGTACGGACGCTGGGCACTAGTTGCGGGTCCATTAGGTGTGAATCTGGGCTCTTCGTCATAGTCACTGCCATAACCAGGGGAACCAGCTTAACAAAAAAGCAAAGATTATCAAAATCAGCCACCAGGCCTCAGCTGTTCAAAAGGTGGATAACGCTATCTGATGGATAAATCTCTATCCATCAGATACCACAATTGGATTCCGTTACACTTATCCGCTGTGTAGGGATTAATCCGGTGGATACCGCTATCCAGCGTTTGAACAACGGGACCAGGTGTGAGAAGAAACTAGAAAAGAGGTTGAGAACTTATTTATTTTGAAAACTGTTAAACTAAACCTTTACATCCTTTTTTTTAAATAAGACGAGCTCTTAATTTATAGAGGCCTTCCATTCTCGGATACCTTGTTCTCCAGGCTCACCAGGCCCTCTCGGCCCTTTCAATTTAAATGAGTTGTGAGGGGACTGGTTAGGAGTGGGCGGAACCAGAGGATCATTTTCGTCTTCATGATTCTTCAGTGTGTACCAGTACCCATTCCCATCAAGGTTCGCCTCGGCCATACTCAATACAACCTGGAGCGAGTGAAACAAATGCCATTGAGATTTGGTCGTAACATAACTTCACATAACATTGTTTTCAGTAAGAGGTATGATTGCACTGGACAGCAAAAGCTAAACAATGTTGCAAATACAGCCCAACCTCCCGTAAGCGACCACCCGAAATGCGAAGAGTTAGTAGTCGCTTACGGGAGGTGGTCGCTTACGAGAGTCGAACGGCAGGAGGTCTTTTACGAGAGGACGTCCGGACACATCTACCTTTTGAAGAGAATGTATTGCATGCAATTTTTAGGTTGCAATAAATGTAAATCCAACCGTCACCCTGAAAACTGGTCGTTTACGAGAAGTTACACCCATAAGGCTTTGAAAAACTTTGGTGTTTTGGATTAGCAGTTGCTTATCGGAGGTGGACCCGTATGAGACGTGGTCGCACAAGGAGGTTTTTTTCGACTGTAAAAGGTAAATCTTTAACAGAGTGCCTTGTAGACCTTTATCAAACGCTGTTTAACGATGTCTATTTTTAAATCGTAGCTGGAACACTTACCTCGCCAATAAACTCACTGGACCCGACTTTGTCGTAATCCCACACAGTGACTTCCAGAGCTCGACCACTGAACTGAAAAACAAAATTTGCTTACTGAGATATACTACGGTGGTCTATCTACTAAAGAATAAAGAAAATGCAATCTGTTAACCACTTACCAGAATTATTTTATAATATAACAAACATAAAAAAACATTATTTTTCTCACCTTTTGAGGCCTACAAGGATACACGAAAGTCTGATTCCATCTAGGATTCATTGACTTCATAGCAGTTTTAGTTCGGCGCTTACTCTGCATACTAAAGTAAAAAATATACTTTAGGAAAGATAACATATATATATTTTTCACGTCAGTAAGGCGTAGATTTAAGAGTAGCCAAATACGCGAAGGTTAAAACGTCAACGTCCTATGGCTTTGTTAGAGCGATTTTCGTATGACCTTGAAATAAAAACGCGCGAACAAAACAGACACAACAAACGAACGGACGAGAGCGATTTGATTGGTTTATCGAACGGATACAAAAGCGCGTGGCTTTTGGTTGGTTAGGCCAATCAAACAATGCCTTCTCCATATTAGGGTTTTCTTTGGCGGGAAAACGAAGAGTCCATGGTTTGATCTTTTCATCCATTGGCTGATAAAACAAATAACGAACACTTACCGAAACCATTTTTCAAGGTCATACGAAAATCGCTCTATTGTAACGTAATAATAGAGAGCTTTAGATTCAAGGACGAGGACGACTACGAGTACAAGATTCATTCAAGTTTTCTCGCCTATTCTCAAAAAACAGAAATCCCGGAAAGCTTAATTGTACTTTTTTTCACCCAAAAAGTTAGCGAAGTAGTAAGTTAGTGAAGGAAGGTAAGCCCTCTCCCGATCACAAAATGATAAACTTGTAACTTTCTCTTTCTTGTTTCCTCCTTTACGACATTAGAGTGCTTAAGGTACGAGATTTTCTCAATGCTGAGTATTACTCACGCGCGAACCAGCCATCGTCAATCTACTAAGAGTTTCAGCGAGAATGTCGTATTGGCGGGAACAAGTTATCAAATGTAAGAAGCTTTTTATAATTTTCTATCGGGAGAGGGATTAAAGGGCTTAACCCCTATCACTATATATAACCGTACTAACTTTTTGGGGCGAAAAAAAGGTCAAATGAAGCTTTCCGGGGTGCCTTTTTTTTAAGAACACGACCAAAAACTTTAAGTTAAATCTCATACTCGTCCTCGTCCTCAAATCTAAAGCTCTCTATTCTCGCTAAAATCACCTTTTCCCACCAAAATGACGCTGGTTCACGCGCGAGTGCGACTTAGTATTGAGAAAATCTCGTATTCGTAGTCGTCCTAGTTTTAGAATCTAAAGCGCCCTACTATTTCTACGCCTTCTAGGAAGTTTAATCAGTTCGCAAAACTTGAGTCAAAAATGTTTCCAAAAATGGTTCTCTAAAACCCCATATTGTAACTTGACATCAACAGTACTTACAAACTATTAGGTGTTCAAGACACACAGGATTTCACAATTTTGAGTTAATATTTTATACAATTTTACTCCATTTTTAATTTAAATTGCCTTGTAGAGCTCCGAATCGCGAGCATTTTAACTCACAGCAACCTAACCAAATGAGTAGCCTTTTTTTACAAAGCAAAAAAACAAAACAAAAGACCAAAAGAAGCCAATGACATTAGTTCAGCAAAAAGCACAAGAGACCTAAGTATCTATACCTTTTATCAGGAAGAAAGTAAATCCGGACATATGGGTTGGGCGGGGTCGTGGACTCTTTAGGTGCCAAGCCTTCACCTCCAATAACAGTCACATTTAAATTGGCAGCATCTTCATCATAAAACAGTCGAAGCTGTCAAACAAACAGTGCAGTAATGATCAGTTAACCTTGAGCTATTCTTCTTTTTCGTAGCACTCGTATACTTCCCAACGTGGCCAAAGAAGGAGGAGAGACTAAAAACATCAAGGATTTTTTTCAAATTTTCCCAGTCTGTATTCTCGCGAACAGAAAAAGATCTAGCTCTGTTCTGGCCGTTCGGCTGAAGCTCCGAAGTTTGAGGCTGAATGTCAACTTCCGTTTAACGATGAGTGCAAACGACGCACATATTTTTCTCATTCTTCAAATAAGAAACTTGAGGCTAAAGCTAAATAAATTGAATCTTTCGTATACCTTAGCTCCGTCGCATAAAAATAAATTTTAATTCATTACTAAGAAAACATTGACGCCTGTTGGCACTTTATATTGGAGTGTTTTGACGCCACTGAAAACATCTGGTTGGCCCTTGGCACGTACACACCTTCTGGAATAACTCAAAAACAGTAAATACTAATTTGATGAGAATAAGGGTATGTGTGACGGTATTGCTGCAGGCTAGACCCGCGCCTGTCCCCCATCCCTTCCTTACACACTCCCTTTCTTTACTGCTCGGGATTCAATTCCAAGTATAAATTAACTAGATGACTTCTTAAACACAAATGTCAACTGTATTCCAGCACACTTAGCTGAAATGGTAGCACTAACAGACCGTTGGTCACCTTCTTTTCGTTCTTCCTTTGATCTTTTTACCGTTTAACATGGTAAATGATCTTTAGAAGAAGCGATCACATTTTTCACATATGCAGTTTTCGTTTAAATTCAACGTTCGCCCTTTAGGGTTCTTTCAGCCGCACCGTCCCGGTGCAATGACGAATGAATTTACCTGTATTCGTCCAGTGATTCTTGATGGCTTTCCTTGCTGAGGCGTGGTTCCTTGCCTGACAGACTTGCTGGATTTGTCATCAGGTGAGGGCCCACCACCAAAGAAGAAATCATCATCTTGAACAAACGAATAATTAAATAAATAAACGAGACAAACAAATGATAATACATGTCATCTTAACTAAGCTTGGAGATAGTGCACTCTTTAACAAACCAAAACTATTTGCCCTGGCCATTGAACCAATCAAACTTCGGCGCAAACACTGGTGGCCGGTGCCAAGCGCGCGAAAAACCGTGTACAATAAAGTCACATCTAACCTCTGATTGGCTGAGAAAGTGGTGCAGGAATCTGTCAGCCCATCAGAAAGAGAAAAAACAAAGCTTGCACAAAATCTACTGGCCAGCCATAACACAACCCTTTTAAAGTGAAACTGTTTAATGATTTGATGCTAATTTCTGACTAACCTGCTGGTTCATAAGATGACGATTCATTTTTTCCAGTCAGAGGGATCCCATTCTCCCTTGATGTTGGTGTTCCTGTGGTGTTATCCCTTTGTGTCGATGGAGATGTGTCTAGGGATCTTCTGTCCTGTTGCAGTGACACGGGCCCTGTGGAGGGTGACACGCGCTGCTCACGCTTTGTCGGGGATTCACTGATTGGGACCTGTTTTGGAGATTCCCGCCTCACTTCCTGTCCTCTTGGTGACTTTACAGGTGAATGGGTCCTCTTTGATGGAAATTTACTCCTGAAATGAGAAAATTACCAACTTGGTTAGCTTAGCTAGTAGACCACCAGGATGAGGAACAAGACCTGTCAGGTTCAAATCCTAACCGCCGCCCGGTTAGCTCAGTTGGGAGAGCGCCGGTCTGCTGAGCGGGAGGCCGTAGGTTCAAACCCCGGCCGGACCAACACTCAGGGTCTTTAAATAACTGAGGAGAAAGTGCTGCCTTTGTAATAACATGTGCAAATGGTTAGACTTTCTAGTCTTCTCGTATAAGGACGATAAACCGTAGGCCCCGTCTCACAAGCCCTTGCACATGTAATAAATCTGTGGGGCGTTAAAGAACCTACACACTCTTCGTAAAGAGTAGGGCACGTAGTGCCCGGTGTAGTGGTCTATCTCACTTTCACACTCATGTATGGGGGCATCCTCACTCATTCCTTCAGTACTTGTAAACTGCACCTTAAGCAGTCTGGCAAAGTCCCCCAACCAGTGTTGTAAATTATCCCTGAAAAGCCCTGAGGGGAGTGGATAATAAGATATTTACAATATTTACAATTTACAATTTGCCCGTGTTTCAAGTACGCCTCTTAACGCTACAAATCACGCTAGGTTTATTTCAAAGGGCAGTATGACAAGAGTTATTTTACGTGTTTGTGTGTGTTGGTAAGACACCACAATAACAAGTGAAGATGACGACAAAACATCACGCACAGGTGCGGATCCACACCGGTTTCCACCGTTCTAAGCATATCGGTCAAATTTCTCATGATAAATATATTTTCAATAACTATAATAAAACCACACACACAAACGTATGGCCATCCTCTTCTTTCTGCCGTCCTTACGTATAAAATAACGTACAACAGCCTGTGTAAGAATTTATTCATGATAATGAAATTTTCTATGGATCAGTTAAGCCCAGAATAGTCTCCTGTGGGACACCTCTTTGGATGTGACTCCACGAGGACAGAGAACGATCGACACGAGCTGCTGGAGCCAGCCTGTCCGTCAGAAAAGCTCATATCCAGATTTATAAAGTTTAGCTGATATTTAGGGAGGATGTTGCGCTCAATTATGACAAATCCTTTTAAGAAATCGGTGGAAAAAATATCCGATCTGAGCATGAAGAGCAAAGCTTGCATTCAGAGGACCAGCGTGTAAGAAGCGCGTAGTGGCGCGCATGGCCTAATTTCAAACCAAGGCGGGCTGAATACGAGTTCGTGTATTATGGGATAAACAATACGAGACCCACATAGTAAGAAAGAGCACATTGCGGTCAGGAAAAATCTCAAGATTGGTGTCAATGGGGCCAAGATCGAACAAGATACAGCTATTTAAAAACTTGAAAATTTGCCAAGAGATACGTGGGTTGCCGCACACACCTTCCGAACGTCTGATATATTTCTTAGTAATTTTTGAGTCTTTGAATAGCTGTATCTCGTTCCGTATAGGCCGAATAAACACCAAACTTGAGAATATTGTACATCTCCCTTTCCTCTTTCTGATCTTGCGGGTCGCGTGTTGTTTATCTCATAATAAAACGGACTCGTACCCAGATCCCTGAGTTTGAAATTAGACAATAGAGAGTTTTAGATCCGAGTTTACCGCGAACCTCTAACCGCTGGAGGTCACGTGACAAGTCTTTCGCGTCACGTTTGAGGTTTACAACGTGCGTTTTCAACGTGGGGAGCTGGGTTTTCACGTATGTCATTTACCTGAAAGCTTTTAGCGTATAATTATTGTTTCATCCCACGTAATGATACAAAAATCTTGTGGAGCAAGTCTTTATACATTAACAGAGGCACAAATTCGGGCGAGATGCTAAATTTGATAAATCCTATTGGATCTTGAAAACAAGTGCCATTCATGGCTGCTGATTCAAAATGGCGGCCGTAAAATTGCAAGAAGAACTAATGTAAGAATTTACAGCTCTTTGCTGCTAGATAACCCAGTGTTGGCGTAAATTTCTTTTATTTTCACTGATTAATTTTTCTTCTATTTCTAAATGGAATAATAAACCAGAATCCACTTGTTTAATCCACCGCCAATCTAAATCGAATTATGTTTGAACGTCGAACCGCAAACGGGTAACCGCAAACCGCGGTTAGAGGTTTGCGGTAAACTCGGATCTAAAACTCTCTAATATTGTGGTAGCCATCACGGCTTCAGTCACTGCATAATGTCATCAATGTAATAGTTGTCTATAACTGGGTGTCTTACTTATCTCTGCAGATAATCAGATGAAGTTCATTACTGTCTTGATTGTCTTCCATGGAAGAGTTTATAATTTCTACAACTTCTTCAAAAGTACAGTCCACTAGTGACTGCTCATTCCACTCCTGAATTTCATCCCCTGTAAAAACAAATTAACGGATTATAACTGTCTGAAGTAAATTAAAATAAAGATATGATCGTCGCAGTGTAATTGAAGCAATTTAAAGTTAACCCAAATAATTCAGGGCTTCAGAGGAATTCGAACCCATCATGGCTTCTGCGTTAGTCCTACAGTAACTGAGCGATGAAGACTCGTTCACTGGGAACAGACTAATTTGTTGAGTTCATTTTAACCAGTGAAAGGAATGAGACATGCTCAAATTGCTGGTATTACACCGCGATGGTCATAATAAATTCGTACTTCCGCAGTTCACATTTTTACTGTTTGCCACAAACAGCAACATCTATTTACCAGCAATTGAATAAAATCTTAAAGTAATTTTTAACTACATGTATCTGTCAAGTAAAAGTTTGCGGAGCAGTTTTGGTTCTTTTGATGCGAATTTCCGGCGATTATATGCCGATTTCTTGGCGTTATGCTGTCATTTGTCCACTTTGATGCAGCCTATACCACATCGCTAAATAAAGGATTTTGCTAATGCTCGGGCAGAAAATCACTGATAAAACGGAACAAACAAACACAGGCGATTCCTTACTGCACTTTTTATCATCTAGAGAGTAGGCATTATCATTTAATTTCTACCTGTCTGCAGTTGTGCTTGTCTATCAGCTGGACCTCCCTTTCTTATTTCAGTGACAAACGCTCCTAGTTTGCCGTCATCTGTCATTTTTCCACCAATCACCTTCAGACCATACATGGCATAAGGGTCTGAAATATTAACATTAGGGACCTAATTAGGGTAAGCAACAACCAACGGCGACTCAAACTTTATCGCACTTATTCTTTCTCGTTTAATTCGTGTTGGCAAATTTTTCCGGAGTTGACTGCTAAAGGTCTCTATCAAAGTTCTAGACTACAAGTAGTCCCCATTTTTCCTCAAGGGTAGTAGAGCAAGCGAAACGCGAGCGCGCGTGAAAATCACCCCACGCGAGTAAAGGCGACACGCGGCGGGGAGAGAGAGGCGTGTCGTTTCGCTCGCTCTACTATCCCTGAGGAAAAATGGGGACTACTCGTAGTCTATCAAAGTTCAGGAAAAGAAAAAGAAAGTTGTTGTCTTGTGTTCCCGTCCTCGACAAAAGTAAAATTAGGCACTTTCACCTTTCACTTTCACAAATGGCTGAAATTAACCAGCTCTTTCAACTTTTGATCATAATTTGTTCATAAGGCAAAGCTTTCTATGGGTTAAGTCGTATGCTACTGAGGAAAAATATAAATAATGACGTCAGGAAAGATTCGCCTTCTTCACGATTCCCGCCATCTTGGCATGCGCTTTAAGATTGATGGGATAAAAGCAACGTCACGTGGTATTTTAGGGGGCAAACAAAAGAAAAAATTTGCCAATAGGAGTAATTTCTTAGTCGAGTCGTTCGAGTTTCGACACGTTTTATATCATTACTGCTTGCTATGAGGACATCTAAGGCCGCTACTGCATCAAAAAAAGTAGGAATGATCACTTCCACCCATAATTTGCCAATATCGTCTTAAAGACGACAAGTTTTTCATTTTTTGTTGTTTAGAATGAACAAACTCGACCGCCATTTCTTGTATCGAGTCAGATTTTATCACTTGTTTATCCCCCTGAGAAACCACGTGGCATCGCTTCTTTCCCATCAGTCTTTAAGCGAGTGTAAAGATGGCCGGCATCGTGGACAAGTTCTATTTGACAAACTCTAACATTACCAGTGGGGGATCCTCGATGTTTTGGATCCATCGTTAGGAACACCTCTCCTAAGCATTTATTGTCGTCATCAGGTGGAGACCACTTTACTAAAGACTGAAAAAAAAAGAAAAGAAAAGTAAAAGAAAGGTCCATTTAACGAGCTTCATCCTTAGACGACGAAATAAGTGGTTTTCACGTTACGTCACCGCCGCCATGCTGGTGGACGGTAAACAAAAGATCGCTCATTAGCTCGCTTTATTTGTCCACCAGCATTTGTTCATTTCACCATTGTTATTTGTGTCTGCCGAGATTGCATGAAAACCACCTATAGTTCCTCTCTTCCACCAAGTATATCCTCCCGGTACTTGAGTGATACATTCAACTCTCTCTAAGACGGACACCTTTGGGACCAGCACTAAGTGTCCGTCTTAGAGAGATGTCCGTCTTATAGAGAGTCAAACAAAGGGAGTAAAGAAAGGCAGGGACCAACTCTAAGTGTCCGTTTTACAGAGGTGTCCGTTAAGAGAGAGTCGACTGTAGTCAGCCGAAGCCAATTTTCAATTCTTACAACCGCTATTAAAATGAACCTACTAAACGTCGAAATTAACCACGGCCCTTACAAGTAACACCTCAGATCATCAGCCCAACTAACGCAGCAGAATTTTGCAACTGTTTGAATTCCAAGAAAGACGGAACAGAGGTTTTCCTGGAATGTAACGTCTGAGTTTCAGGAGGTGTACAGTCCCCGAATGCATCAGTAAGGGGGGTGTTAGAATTTCTCTCAAGGAAAGGAAAAGTAAAAAGAAAATCGTGAGAACATTATTTGCGATGCAGGCTATAAAAATAACGTAAAACACGAACGGAATGGTATAGAATACACTTCGCGTTTAACAAAGACAATATCTGTTGCAGCTAGAATGTTTCTTTGGTTTGAATTTTTTCAATTTTTGTCTGCTTGTTCTCCGGCCATTTTAAACCCGCCATGCATAATCTTAGACAAAGGGAGATAAACATATTGCTGTTTTAAAAAATTTCAGGTCAAAATAAAAATTTGAACCACAGCATAAATTTAACTAAGATATACTTTCAATTAAAAAGAGCCAATAAAATACCGTCGTTCAAGACATTTAACCTACTTACCGTATCTTAAAACAAACTGTTTTGCAATTTATAGTTATCGTTCATGGTACTCATTAGTAAAAGAAGGGCAGAATAATCATTGATCACAAAAACGTTTCAAAATAATCCTGGATGTACTCAGAGTTAAAAAGAATAGTTCCCACTAGGCTTTGTACTCCTTTTATGGTGCCTACAGCAAGCTAGTGGGGAAACAAAATTTTTTAAACACCAATACAGTTTATCTTTCAGGTGATCTTAGAGGTTCCTTTAGCCGGCTCTTAAATTTCCTTGATTGTCCACATACATATGAAAAAAAAATCTAAACCTCATTTTGCAAATACCAAAACACCGAAAGCACCATGTGAAAGGACTGCTGACAGGGGCACCCAACGACAATTTTCGGAAAAATATCTGTTCGGAAGACGATTTGAGATCTAGAATTTTCGGAACATTTGTTGTAAAATTTCTTAATTGCCTGCCTCTCCTAGGATTTTCGGACATCTAAAAAATGGTATAATTGCCTATTTTTAACGGATTTTTACCCTAAAAAGGTCACCTAGAATTTTCGGGAGCCTTTTTTCTGGCTAAAATTTTCGAAAAGGTAAGTTTTGATCCCTATAATTTTCGGATCACTTGACTTTCAGCTAGGAAATCCGAACAGATGAAAAATTTTCAGGGGATAAAAATATGCCTATATCTACCGTTTAAATACTAAAATACGTTTAACAATTCTATGTTTAAGTGGTTTTGAACTATATTCTCGTTGGGTGCCCCTGTGCTGAATAGGTTTTCATTTGAATGGTCACATGGCAGGGTTTAGCCCACAAACAAACGAGCTACAGTGTATATTATATTACATGCACATCTCCTCATAATTGAATCTTACAGGGAAAGAATCATTATTCTTATAGTCTGCATACTTGACTACAGAGTAAGAAAGCAAGGAAAAGTAAGCTTGATACTTGCTATGCTTAGAGAATTAACCGTACACCAATATAAATATTGCCATTGAGTAGAAAAGGCACTGAACAGCGAACCTGTGAGGGGTCTTTGTTTTCCTCAACAGAAGAAGCAACTTCTGACTGCTTTATAGAGCTTGCAGCCGTGACGGAAGATGTGATCGCAGAGGAAGTAGAAGGAGCAGAAGAAGATACAGGAGAAGTAGTTCTCTTGATTGACAAGGCACTAACAAACCTATCACCCAAGGAGCCTCGATCTTGAGGAGAAGGAGGGTCATCTTTGAAGAACAGGTTACTCTAAAGAAGTCAGAATAGATCAAGTCAGATCAAAGAAACAGAAAATGCTTTCAGTGGCATAAAACCGGCATGAAAACAATACTATGATTCCGTGTGACAACGATTTGTAATTGAGCCGAAAGTTTCAATTAATATCCTACCAGGAACATGTTGGAGAATAAGAAATTAACTGCAATAAAAATCAAATCAAAGCAAACCGGCTGAAGGCATTTTCTTGTAGAGGTAATAAATTATTCATGACATTCAATTTTGAATTTTAATTTTACTGAACATGGAAATAATTAAACGTTTACTGTCTGCTAAATTGATCACGTAAAAAAAACAGAGAAAATAAAATATTTATCACTAAAAGCCATTCTAGTTGTGGCACTCTCAATAACCAATTTTAGGAGCCAATGTAAAGCTCTACAAAATTAACACAATTAGTTTGAAACAGATCTAATGATATCCATATTAAGTTTTGGTTTTCTTTTGAAACCTCAGCAGCTGACTACAATTCCTTCACTTTTAAAAATAAATAGTTTCTCACTAGTGAGTCAAACATCTGACAAGGATTTATAGAAGCAAAATAAAATTAAAACAGCTCAACTTAACCCACCAGTTTAACCTGGGTTAATATTTACAAGCCCACTTGTAAAGAACCCGACAGAGGCAGAAACCATTTCATCCAAGCTGAAATCCTTAAAAGTGGTTTGAAATCATTTTAAGCTATTACCGATACTTGTCTACCCAACAAGCCTGAGGCCCCTGAACAAGAAGATCAGGAGGTTTTCGCTTGAAGTATAACACATATCTAACTAATAATATGTTTATACTGAATATTACATTATTTTGATTAAGCCTCCAACCTTTTGGATTCACAGTAACAAATTAAAGAATGAAACTATGTGGCAAGGGTGAAACCAATGAAACAAACTTTACAGTTCTTTCAGTGGACATGTAAAAAGAAACACTGGAATAACTTCCAGAGCTACATTTTATTCATCATAATTTAATTTCACCAACATAGATATAGCACATTGTTTTTGTATGATCGTTCTTATTTTTGTCCTATTGTTTTTGGAAATTGACTCTCTTTTTCACTACATGAGGCACTCAATTTAAGTTTAATTAAGAGAAAAATTCACCGCATAGTAGGATAAACATTCAGGACTCTTCTGTTTAGATGTAAGAAAATTAAGTACAGTTTTTATCCATTTTATTTCCATTGTTACACTCTAAAATGAAACCATAACCATAATTATTATCATTCAACTCATCACAGAGAAAGACCTAACAATAAATTTTTGGAAGACAGAGCCAATTTAAGAAATTTTTAAAAGATCTGAAAGGCACCTAGTTTGCAGTTTTTAAGGGCAGTAAACAATTTTCCTATATTCCAGGACATAAACTGTGGATGATATGGCTCAACAATAACACTCACAAAATGTGAACGGACTCAGAACTTGCAAGTTCAAAAAATATTTTCTAGTGAACGTTTTTAATAAGCAATTTCTTCAGTAGACAGTTCTAAGAAAGATAGATGTTTACGAAGAATTTTGAGGCAAAGGGCTGCTAGCTGTTGAGACTAGAAAACAACTATAACATTTACCGCTGTAATTATTGAAATAAACGTAACAAATATACAGGGCTGAGAATCCCAACTGGAGGCAACCAACTGGCTATTTATAAGCATGACTGCGGATTTGAACTTGGGACTTAAAGAACATATCTAGCAAGTGGTAAGGGTGGGTCCCAATCCAGCAGCTAACCACTAGACCACCCTGATTACTGCTATGGTGCTTGAAGATGTATAAACAACCTTGCCCTTGATAAGATGTCCACAACCTCATAAATTATAGCCAATGAATTATATAACTAGTTCCTAGGTGGTTCTTCTAAAGCCTTTAATGGTCATGGCACTTATTTTGACCACTTTGCTTGGCATCATTTTTTGTAATTTACAGGTATAATGCTGTGGTGGGTTGGACCTGACAACACAAAAAACTCAGTTGGAAGAGCACTTGACTGCAGATTCGATCCCTGGGGCCAGACCAATACTCAGGGACTTAACTGAGAGATGAAGCTTCTGCCTGGGGTAAATGGCTAGACCTTTGCATAGCTCAGATTACCCCGTGGTAATGGTGGTCTTGTCTCCATGAGGAGATGTAAATACAGTACATTCAATACGTACTTTCAGCTTCCTGGACTGAAATGGCATATTTGACATCACAAGTTGTTTGTAAAAAAAGAAGACTTACGACATAAACCACTTGTTAAAAGTAAGACTGCATGACTATTAGCTGAGTAACCATAATTCTCTTCCCTTTAACTCAATAATTGTTTATATGCACATTAGATAAAGTAGACAAAATATTTCCTGAAAAATCTCTGATCCTACCTTGTCCCTGGAATCATCCAAAGAGATTTTGCTAGGAGGAGTTCTTAAACCATCCATCTCATCTCCATAGGGTTTAGACCGTCCTTCATGGTACCCTGATCTGTTTACAAAAGGTCTTGCAGATTGTTGCATCAGCTGTTCATCAGTATCTGGTCTGTCATGTCTGTTAGAAATTACCGGGTCCATCTTATCATTTACATGAGAACCATCTGGGATTACTCCATTTCTGTTGTCTACACGATGATGCGTACTAGAAGCACTTTGATCTGGAAACCTTTGAATGAGGCATTTTAAACAAAGTCATATCACTTCTGTGTGAGAAGACTTACCCAGATTATTTAAACTATATTATGAAGCTATGCATATCATACATGTAGTACCCGTAGCAGGTGTGTCTAGGATAAAACACTACTGAGATATGTTATCCAAATGATAGCCATCATACACTTTTAATTAATTGCTATTAATAAACATGAAAACAACAAACAACTGTACAAAGATACATGTATGTATAGATATTTTATTACAATGGAGACTTACAAGAGTGATGTCTTCATCGACTATAAGAGTGCTCAGCAGTTAAACTAAATCAGACTTTACAACTAGATTGATAGGAATTATTACAAAACAAGATGTGGGAATTATATTTTGAGATACCACTAATGCTTTCACCCCATTACAAAGTACTGTATGCACAAACAAATAACAAAAAATTACAGTAAAGAACAGAGAAAAAAATATGATTCCCTTAATATTTTAATTCCAGGAAAAATTTTTAGTAAGCTACGTGGCACTTTGAAAAGCCAGTGAAAGAAATGTTCATTAAAAAGTAAAGTATGAATAAAAGTGTTGTGTTTTATAACAAGTTGTATGAATAATACCACTACAATAAAAGTAAGAGACCTCATCAATTTCATAGTATAGGTAATAGCATGATTTGTAGTGATATTTGACATAAATACCACTCAATTTTGAAATATTACTAGTGGTATTTATGCCAAATATCACATACAAATCATGCTATTATTTGTCCATACTACTACCTGCACAAGCTTTGTAATTTTCACGCATAGGTATTTCAAATTAAGCTGAAATACCACTGCTCTACCACTCCAATCAAGTTGCTGAAATTTCTCATGTAGTAGTATAACAGATGTACCAAGATGAATATTTCAAAACACAATGTTATACAAAACGCCCTACCTGCGAAACTCACTGCTCTGAGAATCAGGACTGTAACCATTTCTGGCATCTGGAACCTGTTGCCGCCTTGGCTCATCTCCCATTGAACCCCTCTCTGCAGAACCAAATCTGGGCCTACCTTGGTCCATCACTGGCGCTTGCTGAGAAGACCCATACTGTCCTTTTGGTTGGTCGATAGGGGGCCCTTGTTGTTGGCTACCAAAGGGTCCTCTAGGATGTCCCAAGCCTGGATCCTGTGGGGATGGCCCTGACTGTGCTCTTGTTTGATTGGGTGATGTATCCCTGTGGCCTTGTACTTGACCTGGAAAGGGACCTTGCTGAGGTGTACCTGACTGGTTCCTAGGAGTACCCAACCTTGGAGAACCCATTGTAACTGGGGGCCTACTTTGCTCAACTGGAGGTCCAGGCCGTGGTGCACCAACCTGTCCTTTTTGTTGTTGACCTAATGGGACTCCCGGTCTTGGAGCCCCAAATTGACCAGGGGCCTGCCCTTGCCTTGGAGAGCCTAACTGACCAGATGCTTGACCTGGCCTTGGTGAACCTAGTTGCCCAGGGGCTTGAGCTTGCCTTGGTGAACCCAGCTGTCCTGGATGATGGTGTTGCCCACCCTGTTGATCTACTGGCATACCATGTCGGGGCTGTCCACCAGGACCAAGCCTGGGTCCCATTTGCACCTGTCCCATCTGTGTTATACCTGGAGGACCACCCATTCTTGCACCTTGATGAGGTCCCATGCGATCACCAGGTCTAGGGCTCCCTGGTGCCTGTGGGCCACCAGCATGATTGGGAGGAAACCCAGCCTGTGGTCTTGGTCCTGATGGTCCATAGGCACCTGGCCTAGGACCCAAATTATACTGAGTAGTAGGTTGTGACCTAGTTGGTCCTCCTCTGCCATACCCAGGTTGACCAGGTGCACCATGCTGTCTAGACTGCCCAGGCAGACCTTGCTGCTGGCCAGGTGGCCCAGGATGACTACCAGGAGGTATTCCTCTGCCATAGCCAGCAGTATTTTGTTGAGGTGCCTGAAATCTCTGTTGCTGTGGTCCTGAAGGACCTTTCCCTCCAAAGCCAGGTCTGGGTTGTCCTGGTGGCAATCCACCCCTGGGACTTGGCTGTTGGGGTCCCGAAAAACCTGCACGACCAGAAGGAGATGTTCCAGGATGTCCTACTGGAGTAAAACCTGATCCTGGCTGCTGATGAGGCATGTTAGGCTGCATACTAGGCTGGCTCCCTGGCATTTGCATTCCCCTTCCTTGAGGTGCCCCATGTCTGAGCCCTAGCCCCTGGGGCTGTGGCTGTGGCTGCCCTGGTCTTATTCCTGGACCCTGGCCAGGTATTACAAGTCCTCTACCTGGTCCTTGGTTCATAGGGCCTGGCCTATTTTGCATTGCACCCGGATGACGGCCTTGAGGAGCATGGTCTACCTCTTCATGTCCCTTAAATTTGACAACTTTTCTTCTAACTCTATTTTCATCAGGTCTGTAAAGCTCATCATCACTCAGACATGCTGGACTCCCAGGGGGTGTGTCATCCATCTCTTCATCAGATACTGATGGTCTACGAAAACGATTCCCATCTTTCCGTCTCCCACCACCCCTGGCAGGATCTGACCTTTGAAGTGAGCCTTGCCGCTTCATGGCTCGTTTGTCCTCCTCTGTTGTGATTGCCCTAAAGTCACTTCCTAGTGAGTCAGAGTGATTTGTTTTTGGTTTTTCACTGGATGAAGTTAATGAACCAAACCAGTTCCCAGTTTTGGTGAGCATTTCCTGCTTCTTGTGGCACACAACACATACCCATGAAACCTGCAAAATAACAGCAATTTTTTTTTCTGTTCACCTTCTTTTGTTTGTGTTTGTTTTTCTATTTTATGTTCATCTTTGCTAAACCATATAATGTCATACATGACAATGATGATAATAATGATTACGATTAAGATTAACATTGGAATCCCAGCTGTAAGAAGTGTGCAACTTTAAGACACTGGTAAACTTTCAAAACACGAGTAGAATCCTGATTTCTCAAAACCCTCGGTTTTTTCCACAATTCCTGATTACTCAATCCTAACCTAACGTCCCATCACCAGTCACACACCTTAATTTTACCCTGAATTTTTCAAACCTCCTGATAATCAGAACCAATGAATTTGCTTTTCCCAAAATGGTTAGAAAAATTAGGTTTTTAACTGTATAACAACTGTCTTGAGATTGAGGTACTGAGGATATGGGAAGTGTACGCAAATGGCCTTACTTAAGATTACATGAGTAAGAAATGCAGAAATCCCTAGGAGCACTTAAATTGTACATCTACAAAAAACCACCCTCCAAGCCACTACAGGGAGCCTCATCATTTTAACACAGACCCACGTTCTGTAGTTCCCCCAAACCTGAAGCTTAATTAAAGGAGGGAAAAGGAAAGATTATAATTAATGAATAAATACACTCTACTCATCAAGCTGGTTGGGACATCATAAATCTGAATAAGTAACATATCATAAACGTAAAACATAACCACTCTAAAAATCCCCAACTTGGGGAGTATGACCAGATAGCTATACATTTGAACATTATGGATTGTACATGTTTTTAGTTCATCTATGAACCAGCAGGGTAAGAGGGCATCTCGTTAAAAAAATATAATTATTCCAATGACAAAGACTTACCAGTAGCTCTGATATAAGATCTTTGCAGATGTTAGCTGTTGTTGCATTTATCATAATATTATTGTTGTAGATTAACTAATAATCAAACAGCTATTGGTTGCAAATCATGTGTGAATATTGTACATGAGCTTCTAGTTTATGCTATTTTTAAGGTTTTTAACATTTTTATTATCGTAACGTATCTGCCATTTACTTGTTAAATTGATATTTATTTTAGCAGTTTGAATTCATCAATTACTTTTCATGCATAACATAATATACGTGTATTAATTTTAAGATTTAATATTTCACTTTAGATGCACAACTTCACAAGATTTTGTAAAAGGCAAATTTACAGTTACTTTTTGAATTTTAATATTATCAATAATTGTATTCCACTATTGGTATAATGAATAACATAACTTATACCCACCCAACTCCTATACTTTGTTGCATGAGTCAAAATGATGCTGATTGAGGCCTTATTTATTGCAATTCACTTAATACTTGATAAAAAATGCCTTCATATTAATCATTTTCTATTATATTGTTATTTTTATTTATCAATTCATTCTCAGGCAATAAAAATACTACTATAATTAGAAGTAGTTTTATTGCCTAAAAATGAATTAATAAACGTTTGAAACATTCCACAGCAGTAAGAGGGAATTTGAAACATTAAAACTACAACACAACATTTCAGTTTCAAAACACATGTTTAAGAAACATCAGTACATCCATCATCAGTTTAGGGATGCATGGTGCCACTATTTTGTTAACATCCTTGAACTGATGAACCTGAATACCTGAACTGAGTTTTCAGAAGTATTACAATGATCTTGCAAGGGCAACCCATGTAAGTGTAATGAATGATACTCATTTATATCCTCAATATGTCTTTACCTGTACAACTTAACTGTAGTGTTAAGTTTTTTAGATGTTATCTACTGTACATCGGCCACCTTTGATGTCGCAATGTTCTGTGCAATGCATGTAGGTGATGCGCAGTGCAAAACAAGGGAACCCTCAAGTGCCACAAATAGCAGCCATGGCCTCAGACTGGACCAAGTGTGGTAAAACTGTGGTCACCTGAGCAGCAGTTGAAAGAGGATGATGATGATGATGATGATGATAAAACAAGCATGTGTATAATCACAGGGACGCTTTTCATTGGAATTAAATTTGAAAAAAAAAAATTGCCAATCCCTGACCTCTAATTTTCATTGACCTTTGCATGGCATAACTTCACATTTTATTTGCACACCATGAATATTATTATATTCTTCACAACATTTTCACTCTGCAACAGCAACATTTTTTTTAGATTAACAGTGTGATAAAACCTAGGTGTATCTAAGATGAAAAAAAATTAATAAATTCCTGACATCTTGCAGAATGGTGACTTTGTCTAGAACATAAGATTTTCACCGATTTTTCCTTGACCTTGAAAGAACTTTAAATAATTAAAACAAAGTTCTTTCAAGGAAAAACAATTATTGTTTCCTCCTAACTTTTCCCTAGCTGACTGCAGCAATTCCAGGATTAGTCAACTCAAATGGCATCAAAAACTTCATGCACATGCAATGTTTTTAGTTGAGCAAAAATCTAAACAAAAAAAAGACTCAGCATTTACATGGTCTTTTTATACACAAAACATGCCGAGTACTTTTCTGTACTAAAAGATATAATTCCAGTGAGTTGGCAAATTAATTTACCAAGCTCTTTCCAATATTAAAGTGAAAAAAAAAATTGATGGCAGCATAACTTTAGCCTTCAATAAAAAGGAATCCAATCACTGCTGTACACAAACACCAGAGTGAGGTAACACAGCAAGATAAAATTCACAAGTCCACAACAGCTTTAATGCTTAATCTGATTCAATATCAATCAGACACTGTAATTATGAGTGTTTTATGTAGTCTACATGTAGCTTAGTCTCGAACAACAGCAGTGAGCAAAGAGCTAGAATAGTCTAACGGATTGCAAAACATTCGATTTTTATGAGATTCTTAAAGAAAGCAGAAAAAGAGGACTTGAATTTCAGATTTTAGGCAGGTGAAATCAATAAAATAAAAACTACATGCGCGTTATCAAACCTGAAATAAAATTAACGTGTAAATGGTGAACCCAGAGTCTACTTTTATCTTTGCTTACCCCATTGTTTCAGCTAATTAACTTCTTGATGAAAAGCTTTGTAGAAAGCCAAAACTGCAGATAAGACCTCTTTATGTATTTGACCTTCTTTTGAAGTGAATTGAAATCAAGGACAAATCTGGCACCCTGCTGCTAGCAGTATGCAGCTAACAGTATACTGTTTTTTGATGCAGGTGCATAATACACTGTTTCTGGTTGACGGTATGAGGTTAGAACTTCTACAAAATGTTGTGTCCATGTACTAGAAATACACATTTCACTACTGGCATTTGGAAAAATGTTAAAATAATTATGGAATAAATGATAGAGCATACCAATTTTTTTCTGCTACTCTTAAAAAATACTATCACTTACATTTAATTTTTATCAAAAACAAAATCAGTGTCTTTAAAACTCTGGTTATATGAGTTAACAGTAGAGAGCCTGGTGTCTGAATATTACAAATTTTAAACCATGACCTAGAATAGCCTGCAATGCATATTTGGAAGTGAAGCTAAACTTTTCAAGCACCCATGGCCATCAGGGCTCAATTTAATAAAGCTCTTACAAGTGTAATTTACAAGAGTAGCCATTGTTTACATATGTATATAACGCTTCTAAAAGTTTGATTAAATTGACCTCAGGACAAAATTAGATAAAGAATATAACACTCAAGATGGAACTGAAATAGGTCATTTTACAGTTACTGGTGGAGGCTGGAGTTGACCTTAAGCCTGCAGTGCAGGCATTTTCTTTGAGCGCGCAATTTGCTCGCGAAAGCGCCATGTTGAAACTTCCCAAAGAGAGGGGGAAATGGGGCAAGTCAAAGGGAGCGGGGAGGGGGCGCCCTCACACCTACCATAAGGTTTACTATTTCTACTCTCCCCAATCTTCCACTGTTATAAAATCAAAGATGGCGGCTACAACACGAACAACGTTTCGCCCACCCAAAATACGCCTGCACTGCAGGCTAGAGTTGACCTTGTTTTGATACAACCCTTAGTGCTCTATTATGTAAATCATGTTTTCTTTATGCAAACTGGTATTTTTTAAACATAATTTCCATAAGAAAAGGAAAGAGGTTTATATCAAAACAAGGTCAACCTCAGCCTCACTTACACTCAAAGGCTGGGACACTATTTAAGCTCCAATTTTCAATTTCAACATAGAAAGCACTTAGCAGATTTTCATGCTGTTTTAAGCCACCTGAATTGTCTCTCTCCCTAGGATCACTCCTTCCATTCAAATTGATTTGTTGCCTCCACTTATAAGCAGACCACTCATTTTCTTTAATAGGAAATACTTTGACAAATTTAATGTCATTTTCTAGGCTTACTGATGGCTTTCAATCAACAGGCAATGCTCACATATAGGTAATAATTATATTATAAAAAATTGGCCATAATTCAATGGAACTATAAGCTATAAAACTGAAGGAGACTGGTTCACAATAAGTCAAAGATGCTACATGCAAATTGGCATTCACAGCTTATTTTGAAAAGTAACAGAAAACAGCGGAGCATAAAAAGCCACACACATGACCTGAGTTTAAATTGACTGAAAAAAAAAGTCACATATTTCAAGCAAAAGTGACTTTTTTGCACTAAGCCCTTCATTAATTTACTACAAATAATGGTAAAGATTATATTATGAGATGAATTCCGATTAATTTCTGCCATATGTAGTGTGTACAAGCACTTACCATACTCGTATGACGGATCCCCTCCACCCTGTCCCTTCTCCATCTCCTCCCCTCAAGGGTGGGGAAGAGTGAAAAAATTAATTGCAAAAGCAAAATCCTTAAAGTTTTATTTCACAAATGATAAAAATTTATTGGAAAGTATAAATTAAAAGTCAAATATAATATACAGACACACATGGAACCATGCAAACACATGCTGTCAATACAAAACAGCAGTGGTCAGAAATGCCTGATAAAAAAGGTTTGCAGCTTGTACAACTCAAAACCCTCCATCAAAAAAATAAATGTCACAGACTGTTTTGCATAAAAAACAGACAGACAAGCCCTTAGTGATTTACCAAACAAAGCATGTTCAAAATTACTTTTCAATGTCAAAAGTAAATGAGACAAACAGCAGCTTCCTTACATGTATATAACATACATGTAGTTTGCTTGCACTTGGGTTCATAATTATGCTGTTTTAAATTGCAGAAGTGGCAGCTAAATAAAGTAATCTCAAAGAATTATGAAAATTACTTTAGATGTAAAGTAATACATTGTGGTTAATAATAAATTTATTACTGAGATGCTGTACTATTGAATAATTGATTATGGTTGTATGGCATAAAAATTGGAATTAGAAACCTGTGGTAGCCGAACTGTCAAAAGACTGGCAGACAAATTAAAAATAAAGGTTTATTCTAATTAATAATTGTAGAAGGGCATTTGAAATCTTCTTTCATACATGTTTGTAATCAGGTTAAGCAAGTGTATGTATGAAAAACACTCATAAAAATAAGTAAATGATTATGAATGTTAAGGACCATGTTTACTGTGAAATGTTTATCACTAGCCTCTTAATTATAATCGTTATAATCCTATAGCTTTTAACACATACTGTTACATATAATTTATGTCTTCAAATGCTGCACCCGCAGTGAATTGCTTAATTGTACCACACAATTTTGCCAGACAGTGGGTGTTTCCCAAAAAAGGCAAATATTTCTGTCTTTTTTACAGACTAAAATAATTATTAAGAAGTCTTCAGGGCTGTCATTAATATTATTTTGAAGCAGCTATACATGTAGCATGATTAATATTGTAGATCTAGGTTCAACCATAATGTTTTCCTAACTTATTTTTTGGTATGTGTACCATTCAGTAAACTCACCAGGGTCAGTGTTGTGGGTTATGGTCTTTAATGACAACCCTGTTTCTTGAAGTATTAAAACAACTTACAGTTTATAGCACAGCTATAAGTAAAGCTATTTTTAAAGCAGAATTTTTTACCATTTAGTAATCAAGACTTTAAAATTTTATAAGTAAATCACAACTCTTACACTAAAATGATACCATTAACGTTTACTTGTTTGTAAGATTATTGTTATTTTTCATGTCATAACATTATATTTGTAAATGGCAAAATGTTTATGCTTTATAATAATAAATTAGGACAAACCTACAGAGCAATAGTTTGAATTTTCAGTGTTAGACAGTGACAGTATTTTTTATTTTTTATTCTTTAACTTCACTTTATTTATTCTTAACATCATAACTAACAGAAAAGTGTTTATCCTTTACATTATTTTTTAATGTTCAAACTTAATGGCAAGATGTTTATGCTTTATAATACAAACGTTCACCAGAAACTGTACATCATTTTATGTTTCAATCTTTAACTTCCAAGATTTTAGTAGAAGGATTTTAATAAATTCTGCATACTCTATAATTAACTCTAATAAAAAGTTATTAATTTTATCATCAAACCATATCAGTTATTATTCTAAAAAATACTTACACAAAATTAAGAACGTGAGTTTTCTTTCAGTCTTAATAATAAACAAGCGGCTATGTTATTTTCTATTGGTAACCTTTCATGCTATCAAAGTAATATGAATATTCTGTGCGTTTTTATCATGAGAGGGTTTAGGAAATTCATAAGGTAGTTTAATGAGTCAAAAAAAAGAAAAACCAGCAAGAACAGGTCACATGACAGGTCAGGGGTTTCATTAAGAATTGCATGTAGTGGCAAGAGAAAAGTGTATAGTAACAGGAGAATATTTTGAAAGAGCAAGCCCTTTTCTGGAAAGAGCTTGAAAATGAGCCAGGAAATTTTGCATTTTAAACCATGCTGAGATCCCTTTTCCCACCATCTGATAGCAAAATTTGCTATTTCATATTATTTCTCGTAGCTGCCTCGGGGAACAAATAACACTGCATATACCTCTACGTGGTTTCAAAACATTTTTTCTTTGAATTAACAGGCATATTGTTAAATTATGATCAACTTCTAACCCTGCTATACACTCCTAGAGTTGTGACATACCAAAGAGTGATCAATAGAGGGTTTTCACATGATGTCACAGCAGCCATATTGGTGACGTCCCAAAACAATGAATGGTGGTAATGTTGGTGCCCCAACCAACCCTGTGGGAGTTGAACTCTTTTCTACTGCAAACACTTTTTTTACATTCCAATAAATTTGCATAGATGCTGGCCACCAGCAGAGTGAAAATGCTCTATAGGCTTTAACTTCAATTTAATATATTTACGTTGTTTTCAATAAATTGTGAAAGCACGACTAGACAGAACACATTTAAACAAACTCGCCATGAGCGCAAAACATTGCGTGTTTGGATTACTAGACGATTTGTCGAATATCAATGAATATCTCTTCTTTGTTTCCTCTGCAGTTACAATTTATAATGTCCCGTTTTAGAAGTCGTCGTTAAAATACAAAAATCTCTCATTTGCTTCATAGCAATTTGATACTCTGTCATTTACATACTAGGTAAACATTGCCAAATTTATTTCCATAGCAGTTCTGAAAGAAATAGTTCTTTTTATTCATAAAGGTGCTTGATTTTTATTGCTTAAACTTTTCTTGCCGTAACTTTGCCTCTATGATTTGTTCATCAAGTACTTTATTTTGTTTCCCCTCTTTGCATTCATTAGTATTTATTCGTTTAACAATTTTTCGCGTGCAAATTAAAAAGCGTCAAGCATACAGTCACCTCTCCAGGCTTCAGCAAACCACCCAATATTTTACACATCACCTGTTAGTTTTGTTCGGCTTAAAACTGCTAGAATTTAAATAATGTCTTTCATGTATTTGTTGTTTCTTTAGGAATGTAAAGCAAGTGGCTAAGCACTAAAATTTCGCATTTCTGGAAATAATATCTATTTACATACACATATCCACGTCTGATTTGTCTAAATAAAATAGCCACACTTCATCAAAATTTAGCCAGAGAATTATGTGTAGTAGACAGAGAATTCTTCGATCTCCGATGCTTAATGAAACCCCTGACAGGTGCAATCTACCAAGTCGTAGGGACACAGTGTACAGGTATAAACACTGGTTACATACATGTAGTTTGTTTCTTGCCAAATTCAACAGAGTTGTAGGTTCCACGATTGCATATGCATGTCATAGGGCAAATTAATAATAATTTAATTATTATTAATCTGAACTCGATGGGTTTACTTTCACTCTTAGATAATGGCCTCAGCTATAAGAATTTCAAACAGCAGCAGTCACAACATATAATACAAATGTATGTCAAGAAACAAGAAGTGTTGGTCCATTCATGGATAAAAGAGTCGCCCCTGCTGTTTTGTTTTGTTTTTTTTTTTTTTTTTGCACTTTTCTCTGCAAGCCCGACACCAAGAGTCACAAAAGATCTGGACAAGAGACAGAAAGATTTGTTTAAAGAGACAAAGCTATATATGAAAGCTGAGAAGTTGGACTGAAATTTTGTGACTAAGTGGAGTAAACATGTACAGTACCATATAGTCAGTGGAAACTAAGAACATTAGTTTTTATGATAATGCCAAAGAGAGAGTAATTTGAATACAGTTACATGATTGTACATGTACAAATACAGTGTAGTACTTTAAGACACATTCCAAGCTACAAATTATAATGGAGTCAAGGGAGCTGATTCCATTGGCAAAACAGATAACAAAATGATGAAAAAGAAAAGAATTAAAAGGGAACATGTATGCTAACGAAGAGATTACTCACTTCTCACAAAAGTGCTGAAAGTGTCCATTTAAAACACATTTACTTACTGATAAGTCTACTGTAGAAATTTAATACAATTTTACAAACAGAATTAAATATGTGTATTTTTATGTTTAATTTTCATTACTGGTACCAGATATCAAAAGCACTATATAGAATTATGTGACTAAAAGAAAAGAAAAGTTACATTTAAGGGAAGGATAATAAATATGATAATTACATTTCAAGGTGTATGCCAGTGATATGACACTGAATTTAAACTACAGTGCAGGCCAGAACTAAGTGAACAAGACAGATGCAAAGCAGATGCATGTATGCATCAGCTCAGACTCAATAATTACATGTACAGCTGTACAAGTCAGTGCTGACGAGCATCTGTAAGTGCACACATGTGCCAAGATGTCACCACAACATGACCAGGCAACAATTATTCAGATACACATGCATGCCCACATGTTTATCATTACATTAAAAAGAACTTCCCATAAAGAAAACAGTGATACAGTGCATTTGTAGATGTCAAATGAAAGGTCTCTGAGACAAAGACTTGCTGAAACCTTTGCATGGCCTACATTGGAAGTAGTGCAATGATCAATAATATTAAAGCCTACAAGGAGGATAAGAACAGTTTTTACCTGATGAAAAGAAAAGATCAGTTTTAATTAAAATGGCTATTTTATGACAGGAGGTTTCAGCATTAACCAAACCAGGTAGAATATTTTTGAAAGCTTTAGACCTAGCACCTGCTAGATCATAATTATATTGTAGTTTAGACTCTGATGAAATTGCTGAGGGATGAAAAGAAAAGAAAATGACAAGATAAAGAGAGATACAGACCTCAGGGCCCAAAGCAAGAGTTTTGAAGTCTTGAATCAAGTTGGAGAAGAGAGAGAGTCCCTGTCCTTGCTGAAAGAAAGTTTAACAAGTTAATACACTCAAAAATATGATTTAGCAATAATATTTCAACAGATTCACAGACAGAGACAAGCAAGATATTCCAAGACAGACTAAGAAAATACTAACAATGATGTCCGAGAGCCCGGATACCTTAGGCTGAAAGACAACAAACACAGACAACACAAAGATTTAGCATGCAGGAAATTATAACAAAAATTATTTGATTTACAGGATGGTGTACAATTGCTCAGAATGCATATCCTTATTGTGGCCCTCAATTTTTAAACTTCTTTTGCAAATTTTAATTAGGGTACATCTATCAACAAGCCTAATTTACAGAACTATTAGAAACTTCACATATAGTGTAATAAATTAAATCATATTCAGTAATAAATAATATTGAAATTACCTTACATATACAATCAGTAAATTATTCACTTTCTAATATGCAGAGAAAAATATATTACATTTGCAAAGGTTTATTATCAATATCCAGTTTATTTAATGCTTATTACAAGATAAGGGCATTAACAAAGCTGATTATAAAAAATTTATAATCATCTAATGACATTAACATTAATAATGTTATATAAATTTTATAATTTTCCTAAATTTAGACAAAAATTTCCCTTCTTCCCCTTCCCCCAGAATATTATTGTTATTATAATTATGATAGGCATTCATTTCAGCATTCAGTATTTTTTTCTCAAAGGCCAAGGCCAAGGGCCAAACCATGAACCTAAGGCACTAGAGGGTTGCTATGTCTAACTGGTTGTTACTTAGTAAAAAGCACAGGTTTATAACAATATTAATTTCACCAGAATAATGTTCTTTTATTGCAACTGCACATGTATGTGCAGTGGAACCTTGATTTAACAAACCTCCATAAATATAACGAAGTCCGTGGTATAACAAACTATATTTCCAGCCCCAGTAATAGTAAAAATATTGATATATGGAAAAGAACCTTGATATGAAAAAACCTCGTTCAGTGCTCCAAGCTCAGTTTTGTTCAAAGTCGCCTTTGGCGACCTAAAATTATTAAATGGTCGCAAGGTAAGCTACTGAAGTTGATTTCTGAAGCAGTTTCCGTCCATATAATTGGTTCACATTTTTGCCAAGTTTCAGAAGTTTTTTCTGCAGAAAATGCATCTCCAGAAGCAAGCTCCTTTAAACTTCTCAAAACATCATCTACCAGCACATCATTGTAAACTCCACTCAATGATTAAATAAAAGAATATCAAAGGCTGTACTTTTAGCTTTGTGTAGCACTTATTAATGTTAGACACAAGTCGCATAAACCCACTTTTGTTTTAGTGCAGTACCCTTAACTGGCAAGATCTCAATGGCAGCTACTAAAAAAACTCAAATCAACAATATTCCAGTAAGGTACACTTAGGATGAAAGCCTGCAACTGTTATAATTTTTCCTTAACTCACAAAGCCTGGACAATGTCTGACACATTATCCCGACTTTGTTTTTCACCAGAGCATGTGCAATGAATATTTTTTCTTGCGGGAAATCAGTTTTCTCATAATACTCATTTGCCAAACAAATTTTTAACCATGTGATTTATTATAGCCCTTGATTCTCACTGTTTTGAACTTGCTTGAAATCTAAATTGCTGTCGCGAAGACCCAGAGAGCAGTAGCAAATAGTTTCTTTGAAACACACATGTATTCAGTTTTCTTCACGATAACTCCAATTTTTTTGTCATCTGACCCATCTCCCGCTCATCTTATCAAAATGGCGGCCCAACTATTATGCCCTACATCCAGGGAGGGCCCAAGTCATGGCCCCCCCCCCCTGCCTACATCCAAATATGAAATTTGGACACCTCACGGCATCTCAACGCTTCACATCAGGACAACCACGATGAAAAGAGGACAATTGTCTTGAATACAGAGCATAAATAACGGTGATTTTGTTCCTGCATACCTGACATATAAAAATCCAGAAATGACGGAAAATAATTCATGGCATGCGTTAAAGGACACAAAGAACAATTGACTGATTTGAAGATTTTTTGGTAGAATATCCTGTTATGTGATTTCTGTGGCTGTTGTTTAAAGATGCATATTTATTTTAGTCTTTTTTGTGCTTTAAATATATAGAATGACTATATTTTAACTTCAGTAAACAGTAATAGAGAGTTTTAGTGTCTGTAACCAGATTAACTGTCTGGTTACATAATGTAAAGGCCCAAGCATTTTCAATTTAGGGACTCACTGGTTATGGACAGGGACTGGTGATTTTTCACAAGATGAGTCCGAGGACACACCATAACTTTTTGTAACGAAATCACTGAAATAATATTTCTTGCAAATGTTTATCTCAATTTAACTTTGGAAAGACCATTAACACTAGCTGACAAAGGAACTTCGCATGCCATGGCACATGACCGTCAAACACAGGATGCCAAATTGGCAACTTTCATTGCAAGTATAGTCACCGATATTTTTTTAATTCGCCATGGTAACAAAAATGGTCGCAGCTCGGAGCACTGTAATTTTAGCAAACATATTTTGTTAGTCCCTTGTTCGTTCGTTATATCGAGGTTTCACTGTGTTTACCCTTACTGTTAAGAGATGTAAGGATTTAATAATAATGCAACCTCTATCACAGACATGTAAAACGTTAATCATTGAGATGGAAACACTTGTTCATTGATAACTATTATTAATTTTGATACTCAAGAATTCGGAGAAATTTCCAGAACAGCTAATGTTAGAACTGATAATTGCATGGAAGTGCTACCATCTAGTAAAATGGAAAACAATGTGATACTTAATAAAAGATGCAAAAATGATAACTGACTCCTCAAGAAAATATAAATTAATGAACGTCAGCAAGAAAAATAATGTAGCTTCAGACACAATTTAATTAAAAGTTTCTTCCTAAGGGGTCATTTTATTATTTTCCAAAACATATTTTTAAGTGCAAACTACAAATTAAGTAAACTATATACAAAGATATAAGCAGTAATTTCTCTTTACGTTACTCATCATCAACAACAAAATTTCAACTCTAAGCTAAGTAAACGAACTACCACTACCAAGCATTAGTTCTGCATGTTGATATCAATTTAATGTGAGAACGTTTGAAAAGTATTGAGTTTACCATGACAACTTTGACATAATATTAATAAGCCGCTTAAACTGCAGAACTGTAGTCTCTCTCTAAAGAACAAGTTAAAAGCCAGAAAATGCCAAGGCAAATTTGAAAAGAGTTTTAACTACAATGACTGCTAGAACAATAAAAAAGAAAAATTCAGGAACAATAAACAATTCCCTGAAAACTGCTACAGAGTGTACATGCAGCAGTGTAACAATTTTGTGCTGTGGCTGAAGATACATGTAGTATTAAAATCTCTGCTTTAAGCTGGTATAAGTCAATGACCTCAATGACATCACTGTTATCTTTTAAGAATTCTACTTCAATTTATCAACACTAAATATGTAGTCAAAATAGACAAAGAAAAATAACTGTTATCACATAACCAATGTCACGAAAGTCTGTAAGTAATGCCTTTTGTTGCTGAGAACTTTTGATGGCCAACAGATTTAGACTAAATTGCAACACGCAGGTGAGAAAGTCTGAACTCCAAAATATTCTTAATACACTTGGTGAGATAAGCTGTTTTATGTTTTGAGTGTGGCCCTCAACTCTACTGACAAAACACTGCCTCAAATCTTGTGGATTAAGATTGATGATCCTATTTTATAAGACTGACGCACTCAATTTTATCTTTGTGGTTTGCGTGTATTTCCTTTTTGGGTCTCTGTTTTGACCTGAAATTCCTCACCCCCTCAAAGTGTAAGTCACCTTTTTTTGACTGCATGATAAATATTAGTCCAAAAACAGAGTACACTTTCAAGCTTCAAGAAAACCTACATTGTTTATCCTCATGAAAACGTAATTTGGATAAACGCTGCTTAATTTATACAACCTCATAAAAGTTTAACCCCTCTGTTATCATGATTAAAGGTTAAAAAAAGAAGATGACCATGTGGTTAAGGTGACAAATAATAAAACCCAAAAATTTGGTTTTGTTTGCTACAAGTACATTGAATAATCAATGATAAGGAATAAAGACAGCATTTGTCATTGCATAACCTTCAACAAAACAGAAAGGAAATATTCTTCGACTCATAAAAAGGGATTTAGATTAAAGCTAAAAAGGTTACAGACTAGATGAGTTTTAAATAGGCAAGATGGTATTACAATAAAAATGCTCTTATACTGAATATTGTAATTATGAAGACACATGAATATTGATCTCATTTATATCATAATAGTGTGCAGAGGATATATTCACAGGTAAAGAAATAATTGTCTCGTTCAAATATAAAAAATAATTATTAATAAAGTAGAGCTCGAGATCTGTGTGAAACAGTTTTTCCATCAAGGCAAAAAATGAGGTAAATTGAAAATAACTCAATGTAACATTTATTTACACAGTGCAAGCTCTTTAAATAAAATGCATCAACTACCCTGGGATCAAAACAAATACCAAACGGAAAAAATAAAAGACTTTTACACATTTCCACACGCCTTTCACACTAAACACTGGATCAAATAAATTCTGGGGAGGAAATTTTGAGAAATTAAAAATTTTGGATGTGTTTTTCTACCAGAACGTTTGTTTGCCAACAAATCTAGGGTGGGTCACCTAGTTTCACCTGTGTGTCACAAGCTGGCGTCTACCGTATTATATGGACAAAAATCTGATGGGAAATCGCCCTCGATTACTTCGTCCAATTCTACCAGAAAATGTAAAAATGATTAATAAATATCCTACGAAGATGCATCTAGGTGATTCACTAAAAGCCTTAAAATATTTAACCAAAAAACAACTCAAAGATGCAAAATTATAAATAAGTCAGATCTACATGTATGAAAATAAATAATAATTCCCAAGTTTTTTCCCTTTTCTCACATAAGTAGACAGCCAGTCTTGTTTCAGTTACAGACACTTCCTAAACACAAAATTTACTCGTGGGGCAGACTAATAATTGCAAATTATTTTTGAAGTTTAAGCAGTGGACGGTAAATCGCCGATAACTGGCAAAGATAAAATTGTTCACCCTTGAAGGAATAAGAAATTCTAATACAGCTAAATCGACAAAGTGGATGCTTTTAAAAATACATGAGCTAAGCCTAGCTGTCAATAGCATTTGTGTTTACTATCAGAAACGCAGAAACCCATAATAGCGAATGGTTTTAAAGGTCTCAAGCTCTAGAGTCTGAATGTTAAGGTGTAAAAGTGGTAGATTAAAATTATATTCCGACTTACCGTAGCCTGTGAACACATCATTGGAAGAGGCAGTCAGCGCAGTCATAAAACGAAGAAAAATATAAGAAAATACAAATTAGTTCATTTCGTTTTGCGAAATTGCTGACAAGGAATTTCGTTTAAAATCAGTGAAAAATATGAGTATTTGGGGCCCCCAAAAATCTTTGAAAATAAGAAAACATGAATCACGGATAAGAACAACAAAAGTATCTTTACAATGTTTAAAACGTTCAAAGAATTCGCAAAATTCACCTGTTTAGAGCCTGGTATAGTCACTTGCACACCACATCGCGCGCAAACTTTGAGTTTGCAATATTTACACTCCTTGCCCGATCCGTCCGTAAATTTTGTCTTGTGGCAAATTTCGCAGACATTTTCCTCTCTTATAGTAACCGACTGTCCGGTTTTTCGCTCAACTTTATTTTGATAGCTCTCGACTTCTTTCTCAAGATTTCTGGAATTGAATAAAACATACGAAGACATAAAATTGTTTAATTTCCAGTGGAGCGTAAAAATAAACTAAACAGGAACAAGCTCGATACAATCTGCAAGGATAATTCTTTTCAAACGTCTAATAATCGCAAGTGATGAAAATACAGCAACAAAGGCAATGCAAAAAGCAAAGACTGCTATACACGGCCCAACGCCAACATGGCGTTATAAACACTCGCCGAAGTGGAGTACCTACCTTTGCAATTCAATGGTTTCTTCTTCCATTTGTTTCTGTCTTTGCAAGACACACTGTATAATCTGCTTCTCCTCCTCGGTTAAATTCGACAGATCCGGAGGTGGAGGAGACGCAGGCAATCTTGAACCAGCCATTTTTCGCATCATGAAAAACAGTTACGAAGCCTCGCGTGAACTTTAGCTGAGGATTCGCCTCAAACAGGCGGCGATCGATAACAAATCCACGCTAAAATACGTGTAAAGGCCTCCAAATACTGCAAGATGCTATCTAAACTTCCGTTTGGAATTTTGCCTGTCCACTTCCATACTAATATTTCATTCATCCTTTACAAAATTGTCCCCATGCCCAACACAAAGAAAGCTTGTAAAAACCACAACACTACCTCAGAGACTACCTAAAAGTAAGAATACATCTCGGGAATCGCGCGCGCGCACATCGTACTATATCGCTTTATCTTCGGAAACTGTCGGTGATTGTCGGAAATTGTTGAGGATACAAACGACTCGCCGGACTCTTTACCTGAACCTTTTTCACGGTAATTCTTATATATTGCTGAAGAGTTTGGGTTTTGTCACGTCAGATCACACGTCATCTCACTGAATATTGCGTGTCACCCCGCATGTACTGTATGTTAAAAATTGTCAAAGTTATTGTCCTACTCTTCAGCGAATGTCAACACATTACTCAAGTCGACGATTTCAGTCAAGTTTTCAAGTAGTTGGTAGTTTGTATTTGACCAAATAATATTTTTCTGTTCTATATTGATTGTAAGCAAAATAGGCATCCCAAAGTCAGGTTATTCTTGGTTAATAAATGGAGGAAGAAAACACACACTGTTGGTGGATAAAGGGGGAGGGTCCATATAGTGTCCATTGACATCAGATGATAGATTTAAGTTTTCATTTTTTTTACCCTAATTTCCTTGAGGCTGAAGAGAACCAAAGCAACTTTTATCTGGTAGATTTTGTTTTAACCGTACAAACAGACAAAAATTCCGTGACGTCATAACCATAGAGCGTAAGTCCCTTTCGACAAGTGCATATGCGGCGTGGAGGGATTGACTGATGCACCCCCTTATCAAAATTCCTGGTTTTCCGAAACGATTCAGTATATCGAGCTCAAATTCTCAGATATCAATAATATTCCTATACTGTTACAATATTCAGAGATAGTATTTTATATAGTTAGAAAATGATAAGCGTATTCATGATGAACCAAAAAAATGTGATCGAACAATTGAGATTCGCCTATGACTTTTTAATCGCTGTTTTCTTTTTCCCCATGAATGGAAGAGGCCCATCCTTTAGACTGTTAATCTCCAAGTTCGGAGTTCCTCATTTCAAATTGAGGCTTACTGCAAAACTTTGTATTTGAAATTTTTAAATGAGCTGTATTTGAATGACAATAACAACAAGCTCTATTTGCAGGACAGTCACAGGGTATTACAATACTGCAAAAGCTACTTTGTCTTGATAACTAATTTTTGATTCGTTAATTAATAAAAAAACTTTAAATGTATCACTAACTAGTATTCATGCAGCAGGAGTATTTATGCGACCAGAGACAGGTTTGCCTCTCAATTCGAAGGATGATAAAATACCGGAATGAAATTAGCCTGTTCCAGGCTCTTAGATAGTGGGGCCGGAGCGGACCCGACCATCTCGGAGCCTGGAACAGGAGGCTAGAAAGAAATCAATTAATATTAATGTTCATTAACCAGTTTCCATTTTAGTAAAAAAAATCTCCTATCGAACATCTTGGGGAATCTAGTATTAGGCTAATTCTTAGTTTCTCTAATTCTTTCTAGCCCCTGATGAAGACTAGTTTTTTGCCACCTCGTAACAATTGTGAATCCAATTTAAGACGAAAGAGGAATTCTAATGTCCCTCTGGCTAAGACGAAGAGACTAAAGAACACATTTATATATAGCAACTGTAATTAGAGTTTTAGCTACATATGTGTACATTTTTCTTATATTTTTTCTCATATTTTTATTAGATTTTATTATTGTAACGATTAACCTAATTCAGCTTTTCGCTGCGATTTTAATGAGAATAAATTATCTATCATCTATCATGCATGCAACATTGGATGACTTGTTATATACTTCTAAATAGCGTTTACAGAATTGTAGAAGTGTTTTTACAATTTCTGACGCGAAAGGGGGGGTGTTTAAGCAAAAGCTAATCAGTAAGGCATAATCACTTTTTTGCCTATTTAAACCATTACTGATCTTCAATTTCTTAGGGCTTATTTTATTTTTAGCACCCATGCAGGAGTTGCATTACGATGATAGCCGTGAGTTGAGGCAATTTTGCATTCCCAATTTTGATCCTATATAATTAAGTCCTCTGCATGAAAGAAAAATGAGTCAGATAGGGGTCAGATAAAATATTGTTGAACGAGAAAGCTAATCATTAACTACATACAGGTTCAAGAGCAGAGGACTTCAGATATATGAGAATAGAAAATTATTTTCTCATGAAAGATTTCGCAGTTTCCCTCGTTTTGAAAAAGAGGCACGACACGTCTCGAAAATGGCCTATTCAGGTTAGCGTTAGCCCTGTGTAGCAAGCGTTTCCGGGCGAGATCGTCAAGAGAATTGGGCTCACGCTAGCCAATTTTCGCGCAATAACTCGATCGGAAACGCTTGCTAGTAACGCAGGCTAATTCAAGTCGCCTTGGCTCAGGGGCACGCAACGACGGTTTTCTATAAAATATCTGTTCGGAGAAGCAAATATTGCCTAGAATTTTCTATTGCATTGAGGACGGCTAAATGATCGTTCCATTCAGGTACAATTTTCGAGGCTTATCTAATAAATTCCCTACGATTCAAGTGAAGTTAAATTTTCACATTTCATCACCCAGGTTGGGCTATTTTTTCTTACAAAAAAGGAAACCTAATATTTTCGAATTCGAAAATTTGATGGTGAGAGGCGTCAGAAAAATCCTCACTTTCGTAAAACGTTGAGTTGCTGATCTAAAATTGTCCGGAAAATAATACTGAAACCCTTGTAATTTCGAAAAGACTCAAGTTCTCCTAGGATGACCGAACAGATACAATTTTTTTAGCGCCGCTTAAAATGCATTTCCAGAGATCCAAAAGTACTCTGGATAACCTTAAAAGTGTTTTTAATGTATTTAGGAAGAAACCGTCGTTGGGTGCCCCTGTTAGCTGCATGTTCACTAGTCACAGATGGATACAGCTGCCGTAACTGAAAAAAGAGTAAAAAATAAAAGTAGCTACACATCGTCAGTTTACCCTCGATCGTCTACCACCTCTCATCTCCTTAAACCAAACCGCAGCTTCTTGGGATGATAGAATATGAGATTTCACTTTTGACCGGAACTCTTATATGAAAAGATTCACGGAAAATTGGTATTTAGCGATCTCCTTACATTTGTCGTGCAGAAGTTCGTTACGTTACGTGTGGATGACAACAAACCAAAAATGTCACTTAATGGCACTGTTTCAAACTCCATTGATCTTATTTATTTTCAGTACACCTCCTTTCTTTCCGAAAAGAAACGCCTTAAAAAACATCAAAGTGATGGTAACAAGAAAGGCCACTCAGTCAAAGAGACCCTGAGGGTATTGCTTACAGATCATCTTTTTAAACCCATCGATGACAAGAAAGTTGCCGCCATGGTGCTTATTGATCTAAAGCCCGTTTCAAACGTCTTGCTACTGCCGTGCCGAACTCAATTCATAAATTAAAAATACATTATAATACATTTAAAAGTATGCTAAACCGTTTCTCTATCTTTGTGTTTTGTTTTCGGCAACAGCCGTTCTATTCGACAGAATTAAATTCGACGTCTGAAACCAAGTTGCGCTAGTGTCGTGCTGCAGTCGAGTTACAGTCGAGCCAGCTTGGAATGGCAGTGGCACGACGTTTGAAACAGGCCTAAGTCAGGCATTAGCCGCGCTACCCGCTATCCTGTTAAACAAGCTTCAGTCGCTGGGAACATCAACGAATGCTCTAAATTGGTTTCAAAGCGGCTACCTTAACAAGACAGAGCAAACGTACCACTCGAGTTTAAAGTAACTTATGGCGTCCCACAGGCATCTATTCTCGGGCCCGTGTTATTTATTTCAGATACATGAACGACCTGCCAGACATCATTTCCCACTGCTCTAGTTGTATGCTGTGTTGATGTCACTAAACTCTTTATTTCCTTTGTAGCAACCAACGAAAATTAGATGCCTTAAGTCAGATTGTCGGCGATCTCAATAGTGTAGCAGAGTGGTGTTGTACTAACCGACTCCTCTTCATAAATCTAGAGAAAACAAAGTTCATGCTCTTACTATATTTGACCGGTAACCTTCCTTTCGATTCTCACCATGTAAATCATCTATCATCTTCACGACCAGGCAAACTTTGCCAAATTAATAGTGTCCGACATCTACTGATTACCAAAGTTCTTTCAGTCATTTTGAATTCTTTAGTTCAGCAAATTATTTTACTGTTCTAGTGTGTGGTCAGGAACAGCACAACAATATGTCCAGAGACTGCAGCCATTACAGAATTTTGCTACCAGGATACTAACTGGAAAAAGAAAATATGATCATATTTCCACAACCATTAGAGAACTTGGATGGCTTCCAATAAAGAACATGTTACAGCTTGGTGACGTAACCATGGTTTTTAAGATTCTTAATGGCCTCGCGGCAAGTACCTTGAGCCATTGATGGTAAAGCGCTTTAATATCCACAGTCAGAATAGCAGACAGAAGAATCACTTAGACACTACATTTAGGAGAACCTCGACTACGTAGAGATCATTTTTCTTTCGCGCTGGAACAAGTTAAACGAGCACACTAAGAACAGTATGACCATTGATCTTTTCAAACATCGTGCCCGAGGGGAACTTTAGGCATCTACACTTTGACTTGTGTAATGCTTTTTTAGGATCATATTTGTTTTAATTCATCTTGATCATTGTTATTAGTTTTTTAAGAGTATTGTAATTAGGTTTTCTTCTGGTGATTGTAAATTAACACTGAAAATCCTAATTTGGGACATGTTAATAAACTTATTGTATTGTATGATCGGCGCCATTTTACAATGAAAGGATTATTCCGGCGAGGAAAGTTTTCAACTGTACTGGTGCTCAATATTATGAAAGGATAGTTACGTTCGTTATCTAGTCATTTTACAAATCCTTCCCCTTCATGTTTCCATTTATAATGTAGATAAAATTCCAACGATAAAACAAGAAAACGCCTAAGCCACGTTTAACTACGGTGGAATGAGACTATAGGCCATGGGAACTATGGGGCGTAAGGAGAGCAAAATTTGTTTTCCACAGTCTCTCGCGCAAGGTCAGTTTTTGAGTTTTCAAAATACAACTTCACCGGAAATAAACGCTAAAAACTGTCAAGTTGTGGACAACAATTTCCCATGATGCATATTCTAATATAGGTTATAGAAATGACGTTTAAAACTCAAGTTTGTAAAGCAGACTACCATTTCGAAAGTTTGGAGAGTAAACACGTTCTGGAGAGTCTAAACATATAACATAATGTTTCACCTCTGCAACTATTTTATTGCACAAAATTTCATTATATTACAGAATGATACTGGAGTTCAACCAGCTCATTTCACTTAAAAGAGAGTAAAGCAAAAATCGAAACACCCAAAAGTATCTTTGAGTGTTTCACAGACACCGTGCGACGTTTAACGCTTGCCTACTCCCTGTGAGTCGTCTTCCCAGGCATTCTCGGTGACGTATCCGAGACGAAAAAAACTCCCTCGGACCATGTGACCCGAAACGCATCGGCCGCGCGCAATGAGGCCTAGAAACTAGGCAAGTTTGACGTACCACGTTGCTGTACACCAGACTCAAGTGTTCCCTTTAGAATGTCTTATAGATTGCTTTACATAAAAAAATTCCCAATTCACACTTTCTACAGACCTGCTGCTATTTTAAAGAACAGAGGTACGCAGTGGTTGCGTGCGCCCGTTGATTATATAAACGTATCATATACAAAATATTTTACTCCTATGTACAATTATTTCATTTGAAGAATTTAGGATTTCTATGTACAGTTACAAAAATTCTAAATAACTTTGCGGTCGAAAGTCTTCAAGGCTGGCGACCATTTAGGGCGTTTTTTTACCCGAGTCGCAGATGAAATATAAAGCTAATAGTGTGCATTCTAACGTTAACAGGGTCTTTTATTATAACACAAAATCTGATTCCTTTAATTAGCCAATCATTCCTTGCAGGGGCGAATCCAAGGGGAGGATTGCCCCCCCCCCGGGGGGGGGGGTTAAACCCCTAAATGCTTCCGTCTGACAAGAAGATATAACAAAGGTTTATACAATTTACTGCTTAAATGCATTTCAATTTTACGTTTGAGGCGTTCCTCGTTCCGGTATCTAGAAGATGACGTGTAGGGCCGGGATGGGGGGAAAATGATTAGCCGTAAGGTTGTAAAGGGGTTTAAAAGCCTTAGAGCACAACTTCGATGAATAAATTCCTGAAGTCGCCCCTGCCACGAGTCTCTCATTACTGACAACTGTATATTAGATAGAAATGTAGTTTGGAACGGAACAAAACTTACAATTACTTACGTTTGTAAAGAAAATTTTAAAAATAATAAAAACGGCTGGCACTAAGACAAAAGTCCAATATTTCAACCATTTGAAACAAGAATCAGTCTCAGGGCCACTTTTATTCGGAAGAATATTACCGGTCCTTAAAATTCAAGTTAAATGGTGAAGAGTGTTCGTGATGTAAAAGTTTGTGACGGCTTATCAAAAAATTGATACATGCGAACTGATGAGAGACTAGGTAAGGAAAATATTTCTGAAGAAGCTACAGTAGTTATTGCTAGTTGACATATTGGCCTTGTAAAAGGTGCCATTTTGCCGTTGTTCCAGTGGTACGTACCATCAACAAAGTGACATCTGGCAAGAGTTTCGATATCAAGTGTTCGGCAGCAAGATAAAGCAGATAAGTTTTATCCTGTCTTCAGTGTTTCACTGCACTCAAACCCTCCTTTTAAAATATTTCAAAAAAATATCGCCACTAGGAAACAGAAGTTTCCCATTTTTGAAACACTTTCTGCCTCCCTTAAATGATTCCTTGTTAGCCAGTTTCAGGTCTAGTTATGATGTCACACTAGTTTCTACGATCAAATTTTAAATTCTTCTTTGCAGAGGTAACTCCTTCTATACAACATTTTTTGCCTGATTAGTATACAGTTGAACCTCTCTGCAACGGCCACCTTGGGAACAGAAGAAAGTGGCCGTTGTAGATAGGTCTAAACAAGAGTCAATATATGAACTGTCCGCCAAAAAGAGTGGCCGTTATGGCAGGTATCCCGTAGTAGAGGTTTGACCAGTGGCGAATCCAGGGCAGGGACCTGCGGGGTGCGCCCCCACCTTATTTTCGGACCAAAATATTTTTGGGAGATCGGCCCCCCATTATTTCAGGGTCTGGATGACCGCCCCTCCCTTATCGTAAGGTGTGGATCCGTCCCTACAAGAGAGGATATTCTTTTGTTCTCTAATGAAGCTATGAAAATAGCCCTTGTGAAACTTTTAAAGATCATTGCTGGATTCTAGGATGATATTCCACCCTTGTTTACTATATATGTAAGACAGAGTAACTATCTAGTGACAAAGTCGTTCCGTTGTAAACGCCTTTACGTCAAAAGCCTACCATATTGGGTAGGGTAAGATGGTCTTTCTTTTCTTCTCTGCCTGTAAGATAATACGTGACTAACTGTCCTTTTCCTTTAACTTTGACGGGTCCACGGTAAATAAAATTGAAACCCTTGTCCTTTAAAATTTCGTATGTCTGTTCTGTCACCTACAAAGAAAAAAATTATGCTGTTTATTAGGATTTATTCGCCTAGAAAAATTTACCGTTGAGTGGGCCTACTTTCTCATTCCTTTCCCTACCCCTGAGAGGTTAAGCCTACTTCCTGGCTCTTTTCCCTACCCCTAGGGGTTAGGCCTACTTACTCACTCTCTTCCATACCTCTGAGAGGGACTGATGAATAGAAGTCAGTCATAAGACACTATCTTACTCTTACATATAAATCTGGCCTACAAACCTGCATATAACCAGCTTTTCCGGTACTCTCCATCCTGCTTGCAACATTGACTGTGTTCCCCCAAATGTCGTAATGTGGTTTTTTGGCGCCAATGACACCAGCTACCACTGGACCCTGGCAAATTCCTGAGGTAAAAATGAAGAGAATTTAAATCAAGTCAGACACATTATGTTTGTGATGGCTCTTCCCTTGCGCTTGGAATTTCTTCTTTGTATTAGATACATCAATCACTACTGATTACATGCGGCACACATTTGGGAAAGTAGCCATTTGTTTTGATAAAGGATCAGCAGCCGTAGCGCATCAAACGCAACAAGACTAATGCTATCCAAACACGCAACAAGCATGACTAACGTCGCCACCGGCTTATTTTCGCGTACTTTTTGAGTACGCAACGATTTTTTGAGGTTGTTGCTTGTAATGTATCAAATTGTAATGCAACTCATGAACTTGAATACGCCTTTAAACGTTAAGGTGCAGGTTTTAGATTTACGACACCCTTTGGAAAAAAACTTTCGTTTACTGGTAAATCACAGCAGTTTGCCTAGCCAGTAGCTGTAGGATGAATTCAAACGTTGAAAGAATGGGTTAATTTCAGCAATTTGTGCAATTTTCAGCTTTTTGCAAGCAATAACAAAGGAAATGGCTGCCATCGAAAATTTGCGAAATTGCCGGGTGGCAAAAACGTTAATGAGCCCATAAATTCTTTGACTTTTATTGTAAAGTTTCGAGTTTTTAAAAGTAATTTCTCCAAAACTGCTCGGTGTATCGGGCTCAAATTTCCTGAAATAACTGAAATTGTTTTACTCTTTCAGAGAAGTTGTTTTAACGGATTGATCAAAGACTGCAAGGCATATGTCAATGCGGAAAAAATGTAAACAAAGATTCGAAAATATATGAGTACATACCGACTCTAAGAACAAAGTTATTAAAGCATTCTTGGTTGATAGATTCCAGCTTTTCGCGTAACGCTAATGCAAAGTCCACCACTTCCACGACTTGCTGCCAGTGTTCGGAGTCCTGGGACTAAACAAACAGCAGGAACGCGTTACAAATGGACACTAGCCCTTTGCAGTAAGGGAGGCAAAGGGAGAGGGGGGAGGGGGTGTTCAGGAGTCTAGGAAGTCTAACTGTAAAACCAGGAGTACAGAACATTGATTCAAACGGAGCACAGGAGAATTAAGTTTTGTCCGGACAAGATCGGAGTCTCCCACTTATCTCTAACGATCTAAGCGAGAATACATTGCCCTCAGTTGCAGCCTTATTTTTTTCCCCAGAGGGAGGACCTTGCCTACGAGTCCAACAGCCTTTGAGCAAGCCCTCTCGGCTCGGGGTGTGGCCAGGGCTAGGGTTAGGTTTAGTTAATTAATTACAGTCATATTAGGACAGAGAGTTAGCTCATGGCTATCGATCAGTTTTAATTCAGTTACCTCCGTCTGAGGGTGGAGCCCTCAAGGGCAAGGGAGGGGAGTCCAAATTAGATAAGCGGAATCGCGAATGTCTTCTCTAAGGTATGTTGTCCGTGCGGACGTAAGAGGTAAAAAAAGTACAGTGAGTGTGTGTGTTTAGTTGACTGTCTGACTGCCCGACCTAGTTAGCTCATGGCTATCAGTTTTGATCGAGTTACCTCCGTCTCAGGGGCGAGCCCTGCAGCGGCCATGTAAGTGCTCTTGATCGTTTTGATTTTTTCGATACTGCGAAATCTTGGCTCTGATAAAACCTACAAACAAAAAGATGTTTACATTTAGTTCTACCAACAGCATATACCCAAACTGTTGTTATCTCAGAGCTCTGTTTTTGAAGGGTGAGGAGTCCAAATTAGATAAGCGGAATCTCGAATGTCTTCCTACGTCTTCTGTCCTCCCACGTCTGTATGGACGTAGGAGGTGAAAAAGTACAGTGAGAGTGTATGTTTAGTTGACTGCCTGACTCTTTTCACAAGAACTGCGCCAAAGTGTTTATTGTCCTACACTACGGAAAGGAGGTTTAGAATTAGTTACTTATCTCTAGCTTTTATCAGCTCTATACCATAAATTATCTCATCTCTATTATTATCACGACTACAAATCAAGATTTTCCTCATCAACACTAGCCAAAATTTCATCATCATTGTTTGTACGTTCTATATCATTCATTAATCATCGTCGTCGGTATTCGTCGTCACATTATCTTTCATTATCCTGTCTCGTCATCATAAACTTCATCGCCCTCATTACTTTCATCGCCATCATCATCAGCATCATCATCATCATCATCATTTCTTTCAAATTGGTTTCCTTGACACTTATCCTGTGGCTAGTGATTTATCCGGTAAATGGCGATATCCAGGTTTTGAACAACGGGGGCCTGGAAGGGAGATGGCGACCCCCCCTCAAAAAAAATAATAATAATTAAATAAATACACATGGGCGATCATTTGCTTAGACATATTAAGGTTTGTGATTCATCGTCATTTATTTATGATTCAGTAATCTAACTGTACCTCATCAAAGTCGTTGATGATTTCATTCAAGAACCGAATACATTCCTTTCCACCGTCGTTAATATTGTCTTCTGAGTAGAACTCGTCAAAGTTGGGAATGGAGGCGAAAATCACAGTTACGTACTTGTAAGAATGACTGTAAAGCTCCTGTCATGCAGACAAATAATGAAATTAGATGAACATTTCAAGGAAAGTCTGAAATATCTATTAACCTGAACTACTGAGCTATCATCTGCACTTGTTATTATTCGCTTGTTATTCTACTGTATACAGCTGTACAAGGGAATTGTATGAATTAAAACTAGCGTGTTAGTACGGAATGTCATCTCGCAGTTTTCCTAGTTTACACCATAGTTAATTGAGTGGAATGGATATGAAACCCGTCAGACTCCTTTGTTATATGTTTTTGTGGACCTGAAAGTGCACAACGTTCAAAAGAATTCCTATCATTTTGATTGTATTGACCAATAAAAACGTTGCATTAATTTATTCCGTAACAATTTGCCAACAGAAAACAAAGGATTGTGCACTTTCACGGTGCTTTGAACATAAACTGCAGCACTGTTGCTTTTATCACTGATGTTTGCCGCTTTTCATAACCAGTCTCCTCTAATAACTATGTTTACATCAAGAAACAAGAATAAGCACGAGCAAAATATACGCAAATGTGGTAGCCTATATATCGTTAGCTCCTTTTGCTTACTGATAAGGATTCACCGATCTGCACTTTACTCTTATGCTTGTGTTACTTGTGCTTTAAGGCTTGAGGAGTTTGAACAAGGCGATCATCCAAACCGTGATATGTGAACCGAGCAAACGAGAGAGTTCAGCAATATTAGGCATCAGCTTGTAGAAGGGAGGTGCATCCGTCCCTGTTATCAGTCTCTTGAACTAACAGTAAACCACCCGACCATGCATGGTATAAGAAGTTAGCAAACTGGAATGAAATCATATTCACCGGTTCTACATGCTATTGATGCTAAGA